CGCGCAAGTGCTAAACCTCTGGACCACTGAACCTAAATCCAACTGTGTTAATGTTTAACCCAGAACATTTCGTGACAATCTTCGATAGTTCTAAGTGGGTTACTACTTGACACTCGACGTGGATGTTCATCTTCATCCCACTATCGATTAGTGTTTAATTGGAAAGAATCTTCATGTTTCCTAGACGATTTTCGCTACTTAACTATTTATAATAATAATAATACATTTATTACATGAAAAGATAAATTTGATTTTTTGAACGAAAAATGAAAATGCTTTTATCTAATTTAATAGAAACTAATGTTATTCATAATTTTGGTGAATAAAATGCATTATATCTTGTCGAATATATTTCAGTTAATGCTTCCTACATACATACATTTAATCATACATTTTTGCTTCTATTAAAGTGATAGTTTTTACAATAAACGAATGAAAGTAATTGGTTTAGACATTTATAAAATCAATAGTGATTTGACGTTTCTTTATCTAACTATAGAATTAATTAATCCAACAGTCTTTATGCATTTGATATCTTCCATATTAATACTAATCACCTGTCCACTAGGGATTAGCTTCAAGATCTAACTCCTAGAGTTCTAGAGATAAACCGCGATCAGTAATGGGGTTCAACTGCTTAGTGTGTGAGCAGGGTATATCTACTGAAGACAACGGATTAGACATCAGTAACATTGGATATCTGCTCAGTAGTCTACATGAGCGGAATCGAAGATTCTGTATTGGAATTCTGATTTCTGTGTCATGATTGGACACTGCTGATGAGTGTCATACTTAAGTCGAAATACTCAGCCGGTGCTTTTAGGTTATAAGTGGTAAGCTAACTAAAATCAGTTTGTAATTTAAACTATGAAAATACTACAATCTCTATTCATGACAGATGGTTGTATACAATCACATAGTTACTTTTCATCAAGTCTTTTTATAAATTTGGAGGATCCTAATTACGGCAATTCATGCAGTTTAGTTTTCATAATCAATTCTAACCACATCAATACATCGATTCACGATAACGATAACCTTTGTATTGTTAAATATTTTTCACAAAAAACCAAAGAAAGATATCACTAATACACTGTTATACTCTGTAATGGTTAGTTAGCTTCAAGATAGATTTCATGACATTTTATTTTAACTTATACCTAGCAACTCAAGATGGATGACATATTCATCCATAGAATTAACATTGAATGAATATTGTGAGGCTTTAACACAAAATGACTAAAATAATAAAATAAGAATAATTACATCGTGTCAGATTCATCAATCGGACGATTCATCCACAACCAAATACAAATGAATAATGTAAGACAGTTTTATAACTCAAGATTTAACGGACAAAAATCAATGAGCATGAATGTATCTAGATTTTTGTTTTCGACCATCTGTTATCGTAAATCGCAAGTACTTCAACCGGATAGTTTACACATGCCAATATGGTTGAAACCAATAGGTGTGCTCATGCTTTCTTTCAGTCTGCACTACTGTTGCATCAACAAAAACATTATCCATCAAATTAGACTTGTGTTAGTCTCTATCAAGTACCGCTTTATTTATGTTTATTGGCAATCGATCGATTAAATGTAGTTTGTAATTCTTCCTAAATAAAATCCACCCGGTCAACAACAAGTAGTATGTTCTCTGTCTTTTCGTCGTCTCGTTTAATTAAAACATCTTGCCATATGTCTATATTCTATGCGGTAAGTGTAGTTTATTTGTAAATTTTTTTTGAATAAGAACGATTGTGATCAATTGATGTTATGCAATAAGTGAATAGTTAGAATTACACATGCCTACAGAAGTTTGTTATTTGGGTAAAAGTCATCAACAATTAAAAAATTGTTTATGTAATACAAGTTAATGTAAATAAGATCTTAGTTTGACCTAAATATGAAGAGGTGGCTAGTTTTGGTTGCAGAATTTGAATCATACATAATTTGTTATGATTGTTTTTATTTGTGTATTAAATAGCTGTTTCGTTTCAGAATAAAACTTGTAGAAATTCTTTTCACACCTCTCTATTAAAAAACCACATTTGTCTGACTAGATATTGTTTCATTGTAATCCAATCGGGTATGTTGTGGCCTTGTGTTCAAGTTTACATTTCTAATAATTCTCATTGTAGGTAGGATTTGTGTATATTTTCGTGGGTCTAATTCACCCGTATAGATTGTACTTTCTTCTAGAATTTATGCGCACATTTGTTACTTGTGTGTCTTTTTTAAACATTGTTGTTTGATTGCGTAAAAGCTGGTTTTTTAATTCACTTTCATTTTGTTCCCACCATACTTGTTATTTGTCAGGTCATATACGAATATTTGAAATATGTGTAGCTTCTAAGCAACTTGTATTTTGATTTTTCGAATTCATGCTCTTGCAAACAGGATTAAGCCAATGGATATATGTGTATTTAAGTATGTGATATATATTTTATTGCAAGTCAAATATTGGCTACAAAAGACTCTTCAGCAGGACCCGACCAGGAAGCGTTCGCTGACAAAACTGGTCCTGCGCTCGAACCATTGTGGTGCCATGATTCTGAACAGAAAAGAACTAAACAACTTTGGAGTGCATCTCGGTTTCCATTGGTACCATCTAATTAAAATTATTGTGATAAAACAATTTAAAAGTCATCACTCTTGATGATAACACATAATTACCAAAGTAGGTTTAGGGTGCGAACAAACTGTTTTTAACTGCATAAAGAGGGTTCAAATATTCGGATGCCCAAGGCCCCAATAAACATTAGTATACATCCTTGGACACTTTTATACAATGCAAGAATAGGCGAGTAAGATCATTGTTATGACGTGTTTCAAACTGTGTTTGGCAGTGGAGGACGATGGATGTTTATGGTATACTTGTATTGGGTCATTTGATTTTACTTGCTTTTGTAGGCATTTAGGTCCCCTCCTTCCAGAAAAAGTAGTTGGTGAAGCCGATCGGATCTTATGGAGAAGCGACACACAGGTTTTAAGGTTTTTCACTTCCTTAGCCCCACTTCCTGTCCAGTGTTAGCTGACCATCTCCGTACCGCATAGCAGTCATTAACTATTCCTTTTCTAGTTTGTAACCCTTTATCGCATCCGATATAGCGACATTGATGTTAGGCGTTATGCTTTAGTGACTTGGCTATCAGTGAAGCTGAATTTGAGTTTCTTGGTGGTGGGTTTGATTGCGCTTGTGGTAGTTGAGGATGGAAAGAATTAATATGTCGATTCAGTCATTTCTTTGGTCGTAGCGAAAATTCATTGACAGTTATTCTTGTAACGCCCATAGATTAGGTGTCGTTTTGCTAGTAATTTCTGATCGCATTCATTTTTGTGCGTAAGTTCCATCCTTGTTGGTTTAGTTAGCTACCCAGTCTGCAGGTAGGTTGTCGCTGATTTGGTCCAAATCATGAGTTAGTTGTCTTATCCAACTTCTTGTGTGGGCTAGTCGCTTGTTATTGTTTTGACGGCTGTTTAAAGACCTCTCTATCAAGTTATTTTGTCTTTCATGCACCATGAAGCACAGGTTTACTCTGTTTGATGGTAGAGTTACCCCTAAACCAGATAACGGTCCGAATGGAACAAAGTTGTCTTGTATCCTACTATTTAACAATATCCAAATTTATTCATATAATTTTGACTTGGTGCAATATCGAGGCAATCTGTTCAGGAACGCAAACTCATCGCTTGCAATCCATAACATATAAACGTAATGAGAGAGAATAAAAACCTTTACGCTAGTAAACTATTATTGATTAATATCTATGCACAAAACAATTTACTGATCAAATAATATTCACTGACTTTATTGAATAAAATAATGATGTGTTGTTTAATCATTCACTATCATTTATCATTGTTATTATTATTATTATTATTATTATTAAATTAGAATTGTTCATTCCTGAATTCAATGGTACTTCTTGTTATTCCAAGTAATAATTTGTTTTTTTATTGTGAAACAAAATGCAATCTGACAAAATATATCATTCAAGAATAAATAGTCTAACATTTGATTTGTCGTATAAAAAAGAAAAACGAAATTACTTCCTTCCTCTCAACTATGTGTACTTTGATTTTTTTTTCATTTTTCCCCTTCTTTCTCCCTGAGAATAATGTGTGTATGCATGTTTTGTTCGTTTGTAAAAGTTTACATTCTTTTTTTTTTTTTTGCATTTTCTGTATTGAAATTGGTCTTATATTCGGTTGGTTTATTATTATTATTAATATTATTATTATTATTATCATTATTATCATCTCATTGTTAATCAAATTAGTTATAAAATTCATGTTGAAATCAATTAGACAGATATAAACAATAGAGAGTAGAGGTAGTAGCTGCAGGGTACCAACAAAGAACTGAAGCGATACACATTATGTATATGTAGATGATAGTAGAAAAGTTAAAGGGATCATAATGATCATTTGTGTGTTAATATCACCGGAAAAAAAGTTTGATTTAGATCATTTCTGTCTCGAGAACTCATCTGTTACTATGAGGTGTCATTCTTCACAGACTGATCTTATTTGAAGTCTCATTGAAATCCAAGTAACACTGGGCAGCTGCTTCTCTTCTGGCACTACTTCACTGGACTGAACACTTATAACCAGGGATCAAACGCGGGACATCCATGCCTTAAAACAAGTCTAGTTATACAATCCTAACTTAAGTCAGCTCCCCATCCCATACAATGACAACCGAATTTCATCGATGGCATCTGCTTCAGGTGCGTCATGTCTGAGTACAAAATAGTTGTATCAGAATGCTTCTTTATTTCCCAAATTATCCTGACTAACAATAATATGGGAAGAATGTAATATAAATCTATCGGGTTATCAGAGACCCCTTCAATCAAGTTTTTAATAATACTGCCTATGAATTTCAGTAGTATCATACTATTCTCTCAAACTTTTTCTTGAAACATTTCTGATTATTCATAAAATATTTTAACTTTAACAATTAATTTTTCTTTTGTTTAAATCAATTTTCAGCTCATCAATATTACAGTCAGTATCAGTGTAGTTGTCAAGCGAATGACCATAAAAAATCACAACTTTTCTCATTATCTACAAATCTTAAACCGACAGATTTTGATCAAGGTAAGTAAATGTAATTTAAAATTTGTAACTCTCAGTAAAATTGGATTCTTATGATATATGTAGGTGATAGTTGTCACGAATTCTCAGCAATTTTTTAGTCAGTCATTAAACAGCTTTCATGAGTAGATAGTCGGATGGAAATTAAAATAATAATCTTACAAACTGAGTTTGCGCAATTACTCATGCACTAATGTCAGCTAAAATTAACTCTACTGCCAAAATATAACACACAAACTCATTCTCATGAAATGTAGATTGTCTGTGTTTGCAAACTTTTAAAAAGACACGAACAGATTTTTAAGAGTCCTTACATTGTGCTCTTAGTTAGAATTAAGGTCAGAGTTTTCATCACAAGCTAATATCAGCTAAAGTTTAAACATGAGTGTTACTCAATAATTCAAACGATACTATCTGATTGGTCCGTTTATAAAATGTACTTTTGTTTCACGATTATCGATTGAGGGTTAAGGTTAAGGGAATAGTGTCGATTAACCTATTTATAAATGATCGACAAAGACAGAGTGAGAAGTTTGGTGGGTTTAAGATTATCGACTGTCGCGATAAGAAAAGTTAACTTTCTCTGTCATTATCAACTTTTCGAGCAGTATGCAAGGGCATTTCTACTGAGTGTTATACATGTTAATTGAAACTCTCACACAAACCTCTGGTCGGCTCGTCACTAAAGTATCATTTTACGGAATGACCAATTTTGATATTCGGCGACCACTGTACTGTTAACTCTGATTCACTGATCAATCAGTGAAAATTTGTGTCTATTTGACATGAATCTTTTATTACCGATCACAATGAAACAGAATTATCATGAAAATGTTGACTGAATAGTTGCGCTAAATTTGCGTCAAACTAAAATAATCTGAATATTGTACACATTATACTTGTTCTGTGATTTTAATGGGGTTTGGTAGTGAACGAAGTCATGTAAAGTGGAATTAAGGGTGCATTGGGAGCCGTCGCTTCTAGGTTTCCCACATTGTAGAAAGATAACTAAAAAGAAAACTGTTCTAGAGTTGATCGTGATGACCAGAAAACGTGATATATATATATTTAACAAGAAATCTGAGAGCATAACATTATACCATCATAATTTTCTTCTATTCTTCTGAAAAATTCATCGTTCCCATAGTGATGATTTATGATATGATTATATGTTATAATCTCTACTTTCTTATATATCGCCTAGTTTTTCCATTTTTACCTTGTGTTTCCTTGTACAAGCGTACATGCACATACATATTTCTTCTATCATACTCTTTACTCACTCCATGTACCTTTCTATATGGCATATACCACGTAGATTATATAAGCCAGACACTTCTGCATACAAGAAATCATACTATGTAAGTAATTAAATCAATAAGTGAAGATTTGTTTGCTTTTTAAATAAACAATGTAACGCAATATATACTTGTCCAGAAATGAGTTTTCCCATAAATTGTATATTTCATTTCTCCTACCTTAATCTTTTAGTCTTAGAAAATGGATTTGTTTTTTGTTGTTGAGAAATTGAGTTGTAACAACTCGAAATTCCAGTGATCAGCTGATTTATAGTATTAGTAGTAGTACGTTTAGTAATGGTACTTGTTGTGTCGATAATGTTTGTGAAATCACATGAAATAATGTCAAGTGATCGAAGAGAGTAGACAGAAAACATCGGATTCTCAACTGATCGATTGCATTCGATCGGTACCTAAGGTCTACTCCAACAACCAATCAAATTTTTACAATATGAAAGGTCAATTTTTTCGCCTTAGATTCTCTTTGATAATATGTCAGAGGTTGCAGCGTTGCACATATTGCAAGTGGTCATTATTGACAAGGGTCAACTAGCACCAAACATAGGTAGAGTAAGGGTCTCCTGTTGTGACCACCTATCTAAAAAATTCAGTCGTTTTCATAATCATGACTAATTCTTTTATTTACATTCTGTAAGAAGCTGTTTTCTTTCAAACCCACACGCATACAGAGATATTGTCTGATAAAATATATACAATATCTGGTGTACTCTTTCTCTATTTCATTACTGTATTTGTTTGTTTTTCAAAAAAAATATTTCAGATTTTATATTTCAAACAAATTACACAACAGTATTTGCTGAACAAGTCATTGAATCACATGTAGGCTTTATTGAACTACCAGAAAATGAACAAGAAAGTTATTTTAAATTCTATATCACTGGTTATAGTCTGTTAAAAGATGTACAAATCGGGGTTGTATTTATTGAAGGTGGACAAGCAGGAAGTAGAACAAATTCAGTAAGAATTATTATTAGTATTATTAATGACAATTTTATTTCTTTTTATTTTTTTAAATATTTTGATTATATGAAATTATGAAATATATCAAAGGAAATTGAAGGAGACAGGTCATCGACAACATTGGTGATTGTTTCGAAATGTTCTTGATAACTACTCTCGTTATTTGTCATTTTTTAATGCTGATGAACGAGTGAATGATATCAGTAATGAAGAAATTTCAGAAACTAAATAAATTTTTGTTACTATGAGTTATAAGATCTACAAAGTTTACCAAACTTGTAGCATATATAACAATACAAACACTCGATTATATCACTTCAAAGTGTTTTTTATGTAAGAGTACTGATATAAACTAGACTTAAATGATGTTTTAATCGAGATCACATAGTTGCACTATCATCGGAGTATACTTTTGTATTATGTAATATGGTCGATCAAACAAAAGTGACACAGATGCCAATGAAGGCATTTGTCTTGCATACTTTCAGATTACAGCCGTCCTAAAGGGTTCTGAAAGTCTTCTGCAGTCAAACACGTAAACTACTTGCCTATTTCGTTTTTGGACTCAATTTTTTCGCGTTACATATTTCTGCAAGATTACTGTTTCATTTGTTTGTACAGTTCTGCTTTCTTTACTCTTAGATAGCGATAATTTCAACATTTTTTCGTATCATATGTATCTGTGCATTATAAATAAGTTATTTTTTCCATGGAGTTCCTTCTTCAATAATAACTTCCAGCGTTGTTGTTATACAATTGTATCCCGGATCAACTTATTTGTTTGTTTTGGTTTAAGCTTCAAGTTGTCAAGAACAGAATTTATTTCAGTTGATTTCTTATGCAAACCATAACGGAATAATGTTTATCTCGTTCATTTGCATGTCAATTGTTTATCATTTCCTGTTGCCAGTAATGCATTATTCTTTGTATAAAAATCAATCGAACATCATGTTTTTCAGTAATATTTTAGTTCTAGTTGAAGTAAACTGAATAAATATCTCAATTGATTTATCTTTCATTATCTCACGTCCTATTGATTAATCCAATCACTTATTATAGGAAAATTTCATCATCTACTCACAATATTGATATGTGTTCTTAGAAATAATTTTGTGTTTTTTTCACTAGACCTAACAAAAAATTCACTAATTCATCTCTATGAACAAGAGCTTATCAATCGACCATTGTCGTATGTACATATATATTGTTGAAATCAATCATTGTTAGACTATCATTTGAAACCTGAAAGCACTGGACTGCCGTTTCGTCCATGGATAGGTATCATCAGCAGTGTGTATCAACAACTCCCCCTTCTCGCAGAAATCGAACCCTAAACCTCTGGTCATGTAAGCGAATGCCTAATCTCTGGACCATTGAGCCGGCATCTGACGGAGTTAATGTCTAACTCTGGTCAATCGAAGGTTTTGTGCGAACTCCGAGGATTTCCTTACGAAGCTAATTACTAGTGAGCATAACAGCAGTGCGCTGATAAGTACCATACCAGGACGAAACGGCCAGCCAGTGCTTACAACGATTGATTCATGATTTCATGATTTCTCCATAACTCTATGTTGAAAAATCCTATCTTATATAGTTGAAAATATTTTATAAAATCCTAAAGAAGTATCTTGACAAAATATATTCAGTAGATAGTTCTGCTTAATCGATAGACTTGTAGCTGATCTTGATAAAAATGTCAAGCTGTTAAGTTTATGCCTCCTGTGTGTTGTTATCACAATATACATCAGTCATCTATTTGTAATAATTTGTTTTTTCTTTTCTTTTTTTTTTACAGATTACAGAACAAACAAATGTACAAGCATTTCCAGGCGTCAATACTGATTCTGATCTATGGTCATTACCAGTTTATAAATATGAATTGCAAGACGTTTGGCCAGATCCTGTTGATGATAATGTGATTACAATTACATGGAGTATGCCGGAAGCTCTATTATCAACTAAAAAATCACCATCTGTGATTAAAGATGTTTTTCGGACGTTGAGTAAGTTTTGGATAAGTAGATTTCTTTAACATAGTATTGTTTACTTAACTCTGAAATTAACTCAAACATAGATAAGGTCATAATTCAACCTAATGTTAGGTTTTTGAATTCGGCGATTAGGAAACACTAAGTTTATTTTTTATTCCATTTGGAAATCATCAGAAGAGAAGCATTACTTTCTCTATGAAAATTCAAACTAATGTCATGAACTTGTATCGCAGTTTCAAGATGTTTTCGCTGAGTAATTAGTTATATTCAGTCATTAACATTAATTATCGAAAATTGGCACAGGGGGATTTGTGAAGATTGTAGGATTCTTAGAGCTTGATTTATAAAGTGTTAGGTTCGTCACTAGGCATGCTTGAAACTATTACGGGTTCACCTTAGTCGATAAACGCGAACGAGACAATGAACCAGCGTCCAGGTAGGCTACCCTGATCTGCTGACTAATGAAAAATCTTGATGTAGCGTAGGAAGTATATTCTACAAACACCCAGCAAGCACAATGCAATCAAGCACACAAATCTCGTTTATTTATACATCATATAAACGTCCCTGGGACAGTTAAGAAAATAGCACACTAAAATACACAGCAGCCAACCACAGCCAAGGATTTTCCTGGTGGGAAATGAAATCTCAAGGTCAACTGATCAGCCTATGCTCGCAAACGTGCAATCCAAAATAAGGCATTTAACAAGTGAGTTCTGGGAATCTAACACCCCCAACATAAAGCGATCTCAATTCGACCATCATTGGAGACCTAGAAGCCCTGTACGATCGTTTCTTCATAGTGTGCATCTCCTCAGCAAAGCAAGCTCTTGACTCAAAATCTGGGAAGTATAAGCACGGGTGCTAATTGAAAGCAGCGAGCACTAAGACAATATATTTTTACAGTGCTTGTAGGCTTTTAATGTTGATCTAGCTAATGCCAGTTAATGATTTAAACTATGAAAGTTATCAAGTAATGTTACTGAATGAAAGAAACACTGACCGGAAATGCTAGACAGAACAGACTTAGTGAACATAGAAAATATGATCGATAACTTCAATTCGCAAGTTTTTTATATGAAAACAATTATTATTTAATTAAATAAAATTTTTAACCATAATCACATGAAGTTCACCCATTTACAAGTTTGAAGCAATTACCAACGGACGACATGAGAAGATGGTCAAGTGATATTATGAATCGATTGAAATTAGGCCATGTTAACTATTGCATACCAGATTGACTGTCTACAGGTTAAATCCTTAAGGTCTGGCTGTACCACTGATGAAGTAGTTGATAGATCAGGACGAAACACACCCACCCATTGGTTATTTAACTATTGTCATAGACGTTTTTTTAAAATGTCAGCTAAAAAATAATAATGATTATTATAAAATACCTCCCCCGCCCTTAATTTAAATTCAGTTCATCAATCTGTTTATTTCTAATAAAAATTTTAATTTTTAGTTATAACACCGGATAAAGTGAATACAATTCGTGCATGGGTTTGGCAAAGAGATTCACATTTATTAGATATTCGAGCATATCATCAATTAGATGAGAATAATGTAGATAATCAATTGAAAATCTTAACTCTACAACATTCTGGTTGTTCTGTGAATGAAGGTGAAAATTTAATTGTGGCAAGTGTTCAACTTAAAGGTTTGTACAAGATTATTATGATGACATAATCTACATATATATATATATATATATATATATATATATATATATATCAGTTGATACCAAATCGTACCTTACTAATCTCTTTTATTTTACCTGTAATTTAAATTCTTTAACTAACGGTTCATCCACAATCCTCATTTAATGTATTCAACTCAAATCTTGAGAGCAACAAATGTCTAAATGATACGAGCGAAACTTGGTTTCATCAAAACATGGCACAATTCCATGAAGTCACTGATAAGTGGACTTAGTTATGTTGGTAGATGTAGACTACCTAGTTGGGGTCCACGCGATAACAGTAAAAGATGGTTAGAGACCTTGAACGACATGTCTCAAAATCGTTTGCGATGGCGCAGGTGCATCCACTCTTTGTGTTCTCTCAAATTTTATTCTTCTGAATTCCTCATCACTTCTATCTCTCTCTTTCTAAAGCAATCTCTCTGAATTATACTTCTTGAATAATATCTTTGAACCCTAATGTTCTTGTTTACAGCTACTACTTACTATCTGTGCAAATGTGGTATGGTAACTTGAACTGACTGACCGACTGGTTTATTCTAAACATACTCTAAATACACAGGTGATTTCAATAGAGCTTCACTAACTTTTGTAGAATTCAGTCACTAGAGAATAATCATTGGCTGGCAAGATGTTCGGTACTAGTGGCAATTGTTCTTGGGACGAAACTGTGAAACTTCAGGTCTTTCAATCAAAATCCCATTGATGGTTAGACAACGTTTGTACCAAAATTCCATTATCTCCATAAGAGATAACCTAGACAGGAAGTGAATAGATTTTTAATAAATCACAACAGTAGGAAAACATGATTGTTCAGTGAGCTATTTGTTTTACAATGTTACTCAATGAGAAGCAATAAATTAGTTTTACAATTGTACCATATTTTCGAATCATTCATTTTTCATCTAGTTTAAAATTGTCGAATAAAATAGATTTGCATAAATTTTTTCAACAAAGTAATAATCTTTTTTTCATCCAAATGAAAAATGATACTCAACAAAATGTAACCCTTGAGAAATAGATGATTTTACTCCATGTATTGATGGATACATTAGTAGAAAGAAAAAAATTATGAATTATATTTTTAATTTAATAAGAAATTTGAAAAAAGTAATAAAAAAAGTGAACTTAATTTAACTTGTTAAAAAATTTATTGATTAGGAAATAATGTTTGTACACTAAACATGAGAACCTATCTATTGATAATCTTCAATGATAAGGCATCCATGTCATTAATCGTAAATTTCTGTTTGATTATGTGCGGTCGGCACAATTATTGTAACCAATTTTTGAAGATGTCAAGATAAATAAGACAGAATTGATTGAAAAATGTTAGAATGACCAGAGTTAGACATTAACACCATTGGATGCAGTTTCAATGGTCCGGAAGTTAAACATTCGGGTGCAAGACCGAAGGTCACAGGTTCGATTCCTGTGAGTAAGGGGAGCCGTGGATACGCACTGCTGATGAGCCCCGTACCAGTACGAAACGGCCATCCAGTGCTTGTTTGTTTCTAATGATGGTCTAACAATGATTGATTCATGACTTCAGTGATAAACAACAACCGCCACATCTCTATGATGAAACATCATTAACCATCTGGTTTATACATACATGAACAGATTTATTACACAGACTAAAGCTTTCTAATTTTTAATATCTATTATGAATAATAATTGAATTAATCTAATGATCTGTTCTCACTATTCTGCTACATGAATTGCTTGTAATGTGATTGAAAGTAATAGTTACTGAACCTGTGACCTCAGCTACATGTTAATTACCACTCACTCCCATATAAGGCGTATCTATGATCTTGAGCAAAGTGATTTCTCTGGTGGGTTTTATAACTCATGTCAGTAGAATCTGGATAAGATTAAGGATTTGGATTTCAAAACTAACTAATGTAATGAGCAATCTCTTAACTTTACAAACGAATTGCAGTTCCCTACTGTTATGATTTGAGTACGCTCATCCGTATCACGTGTTGTATTCATTTATCAGGATTCCAGTTGGCGACCAGTTTACGTGTATTTCTAACAGGGTCGATGACCTTCTACTCACAAATCGACACATCGATCAGTGAACAATACCCAAGACAACACTTACTGGACATCGAGCACCTTCCAATCTAGTAAGCAGTTTGAAGACGCGGATACGAAACAGATTAGTTCCCTATTGTATTCAATTCAATTTATAACTCAAAACTCAAACAGTAATGTACAGTTAGATCTTGACCACACATCAAAGTATTTGAGAAGTAACAATAGCAGCATAATAACACCATAAGTGAAGGAGAACTGATTTATAAATTTGTCATAAACTACACAGAACCTTAAAAATTGGTACAACACATTACAAAGTTTTATGCATCACAAAAATGCTCACATCCAGGAGAAGAAAAAAATTAATTAATATAAATTTTTACAGTAAATACATAAAAACAATATTATTAATAATTTTAGATAGGGCAGCCTTGGGAGTTTAACTTTCTGATTGCTTATCCCGTTATACCACCTACCATCAAATCCTCAATAGGGCGTACTAACATACGCAAGTACAAATATCCCACAAATCACATTTCAGCATGAAACTTCTTTTCTTAATATTTCTCATACCATTTCATGTTATCAAATTTAGTTGTGTATTATATTAGTTTCAAACGAATCCTTATTCAGTGATCTAGAGGTTAAGCATTCGAGCCTGAGAACGAGACAACCTGGTTGCAGTGGCGTGAATCCATACTACTGAGGAGCCCTTATACTAAAACAAAACAGAAATCCGACTCTTTCAGAAATGCTTGATCATTCAAATCACCAGATCGGGGTTGAATCATACAATTTCAACTAAAATCAATGTCTGATGAATACAACCTGCAAACAACTATTGTTAATATTTCAAACAAAAACCATACTACAAATGAAGAAATGATATTGTCAAATCTGTCCATTGTTGGTCATTGATCATTTAACTCACTGTTAAATATTAGATTGAAAAACTCGAGAAAACACTCACTCCTATAAGAGGATGAAGATGAAGAGTGGGCGATTGAAACTGACAGTACCATTGATCGAATGTTCCAATTAAAAAAAATGACTAAATTCTTAGTGATCTTTCCAGTGTTATTATCAGTTCATGAAATTGATTTTAAATATCTTATTTCAATTTCAATAATTTACAGTTCATTTGTTTAAAAATTAATAATTGTAAATATGCTTACTTGTCAAATATATTCGGTCATGTAAAGAAATAATGTCTGACAATTGGAACAGTAGAACTTTTGTCACAGATGTTTAAATTAAATTATACCACCCACCAGCATAAAAATGCACAATTTGTTTTTGGTCAAATACAAATCTAATTTAACCATTGTTCAATATTTTCCAAATTAAATTTTTTATGGTTAGTTGGCAGTCGCAAATTAATCGTGTCTACAAAATCGAAGCAACAGTAGTTCCATTCTGAAGGATTCAAACACAGTTTACTGAGCTCTAAAGTGAGAGATGTTATCAGTGAACTATTAGGACACTCATCAATCTCCAGTAGGACTGGAGTATTTGTAATTGATTAATCAGCGTGCAGTGACCAGCCTCATGTTCGCTTAATCATCTCAGTTCTGATCAAACTCTATCGATGAAGTTGCAATCTGGCCACTAATCTAAGTGACCAAATACTGTGTGTACTTTGTCGAGATGATCAGATTACTGGTACTATCTGTTGAATAAGTTAAATTGTATCGCAGTTCAATCAAATAATAATTAGTTAATCAACATTAGTTAAATAGAAATTCACTGTTGGAAGAGTACAAAATTAATATAGCTCAAATGTTGAATACATGTTAATCCTTAGAAGAACTGCTTTAAATCTATTCTCTTATTATTACTACTACTACAGGATTTGAATTGACAATTCTAACTCTCTGTGCCAATGCGGTATAGCAACTTGAACTGATGCACGTATGGAAGAAAGAACTACAACTAAACTGTCAAATAATTTAAAGCTTTTACTTTACTTTAAATCACAACTGTCCTAAACCAAAAAAGGAACAACCCTATACTTCTAGTTAGTTGATTCTTTTCTACTATGTTGTCTAAATAGGATTGTCTATATTGACTCATGCACAAAGAATTATAATTGTTGTTAAAAACATGAACCGACCTTATGTCACTATTATAAACCTAGAAGCACTGAAAGGCGTTTCTACCTAGTTTAAGACTCCTCAAGTTCTCACCCACGACACCGCACCCGAGGATCGAACCCAGAACTTTCAGTCTCACACGTGATCGCTTAACCGAACTTATACCTAAAGGTGTTAATTTCTAACTTTTCGTGTAACCCTTCATCCATTATCTTTGGTAGACAACTACCTCACGCTCGACATGGTTGAACTCCACTTGTCACAACTTCTCCCTAGAAATTCGGGAATCTCCTCTCGGAGCCAATCACTTGTGAGCAGTTGGTATTTTTCACTAATAGGTTGTAAAGGTTGTTGAATTTCATTGAAATCATTAAAAGATCTACGTCACACTGCCAGTTTAATAATTTCAATTCAATTCAACAATCTCCACAACCTCGTACTGACAATTGCAAGTTTATTGGTTAGTGAATATCATTAAATGTTATTGATATCATAAATTGATCTAAGTTAAACCATTATTGAAAACTATGAAGCACTAATCAAGCTGCGTCATCTTAGCCTAGGACTGATTTGTGCATTTTCTACTCTAGCAAGCAGTTTTTCTCACTAAATTTACTACGTTTATACTTGCATCATTTTCGTGATACGATTTATCGACCCATGGTTCTTTTTTGTTTCCTATGCTGTCGTCCTATCCCTACTCGTCTCTCTCTCTTTCTGCTCTCACTAACTAACTAACTAACAAAGACATCAAACTATGTCAAATCATACCCTTTATATTTAATATAAAAAATTTATCTGTCCAAATTTTAGGCTAGTCATTTACTAAGTCAGTCACGTGAACACCACTTAAAGTAGTAGGATGTATTTGTTTTTTCTATCCAGTAAGTTTATCAACTTTGTGTAGAAAATTTCATAGAATTAGCTTGATGAAATTTGAGAAATAATATGGTTTTGATAAGGACTTTTGAATGGTTACGCTCTAGTTACGTGTATTTTTTTAAAAATGTTTTTATTATTCTGTATTATGATAAATTTGACAGGTTTTGTCAGGTTAATGTTGAGCTGATGTTCTGCTTCAGTTCAAGTAGACTTTAAAGATGATAATCTGTAGTAAAGTCAGAAGTATGATGAAGGTAGCAGCATCTTACTTACTCACATCATGGAAGATGAATTAGTTTTGACGTAATAATTAACTTCGTGATAGGTACCCTATATTTCTTATCGTAAAACTAAATAACAAACGGAACCAAATAAGTTCCTTATAAGAAGTAATTTACGCATTACTGATACAGTGAATTTCGGTCAAGCTATATAATTAATAGCTTGCTTGTATTCTAATAATCTTTCCAACAAAAAACCAAAACAGTTTACATCCAGATGTGTACATTGGAAAATAAATTCGATCAGAACTATAAAATAGTTATTAAAATAACTATCGATAATTTTTATTTCTAATAAGACAAAAATTTTTATTTAAATCATGAATCGATCATTGTAAAACCAACACTAGAAACCTGGAAGCACTGGACGGCTGTTTCGTCCTGTTATCAGCAGTAAGCGTCCATGATCCCCGCCCATGGGGATCGAACCCACGACATTTGTTCTCCGCTCGAACTCTTAACCTCTATAATGAAAATTTAATTAATTATTTTATATTTTAATCACAATTCTTATTATTTTAAAATTCATTTTTAATTTAAGCAGAATTATTTGTTTCTTATTTAAAATCTTAATAATCATAATTTTTAATCGAACATTAAAAATAGAATTCATGATATGTTTGTAATAAGAAAACAAACGATGGAATAAAGGTTTTCTTTTCGGAACTCATCTACTGTGAATACACTACAATTTTTTCTTTCACATTCAAAATTTTCCTATATTATATCGTTCAAATGAACTGTATTATAAATATACATATACAACTCCGTGAATTGATCAAGTTAGACATTAACACCGTTAGATACGGGCTCAGTGGTCCGATGGTTAGGCGTTCGCCTACAATACCGAAGGTCCTAGGTTCGAATCCTGCGGGGTGCAAGAGTCGTGGATGCGCACTGCTGAGGAGTCCCATACCAGGACGAAACGGCCGTCCAGTGCTTCCAGGTTTATAATGGTGGTCTAACATTGATTGATTCATGGTTTCAAAAATGTGTAACTTAACAATCTTCACAACCCCGTAATGCACATACAAAAAAGACAGATAAATTGTACTCTTGAACACCACGGTCGGAAATTTCAAATAACCAATACAAATGAATTACGCATATATATACGTTTAAACTAGTAAATTTCACTTACATCCAACTCATGAATAAATTATCATTAGACACCCAGAACACTGGACGGCCGTTTCGTCTGGGTATTTGACTCATCAGTAGTACGTATCCACGACTTCTGCTGCTCTCAATATTGGAAGCCAAGATCTTCGGCCTTGCGCGAACACCTTACCTCTGAACCACTAAGCCGACATCCTGCAATGTTAATGTCTAACTCTGATTAATTTAGCGATTTCGCAAAATCTTAATAGCTTACTAGTGACATAATTTTACTGTATAAACATTAAACAATTTCTACTACTGAATAAATTTTTCTTTGTTTTCTCTTAATGCTCCATTTATGCCATTGATTAAATTTTGTAGATGGAAAATGTACTACAGATAATAATGATATAATTACATGTACACGTACAATTCATGGACAAATAATTCAATTTAAATTAAAAAATCCGCCTACATCAGATATTTATAAATTACACTTGAAATCTGGTGGAGATGATGATAGTGTGGAATCAACGCCAAGTATTGATTTAGTTACTTCTGGATCACTTGGTGAAGAAGTTAAAGAAGATATTAAAGGTTTGTTATGTGTAACTAATGTGAATATGATTTTTTTAAAATAATAATAATTATTAATGTTATTATATATTAGCAATTATGATAAATCCGTTTGTTTCAACACTGCCTTACCCTGATGCACAATATTTGGGAGACACCTGAAGCATGTCCAAACATTGTCATTGACTATTGGTCTATGAACCATGTTGGTAAATGCAATCTTTCACCTGGTTGATATTTACTAGATAATCTCAGCCAGCTATTAGAGACATTCGGTAACAATATGTGAGAATCGATTTTAATGTGAAAAATGACTTCATTCTTTATTTGCATCTTGATCTTGAGTTCTATTTATTCCTTCTTCTAAAACCATATTCTAAAAACCTTAGTACTTATCAGTATCATCCCTAATATATAGTATACCAATATACTTGTCACGGATTGATCTTACTTCATTTTGATCAGGTAAAAATTTTGGGTTAGTACATTTTATTTCAAGGGCTACTGTGATTCCAATCGACTGAATTCGTGAATATAACTTATACCTGGTGGAGAGGTATTTCACTTGTGATTATTTGTTTAAGATCCTTGATCTAATCAATTAACTAATTGTATGAACTATATTAACCGGGGCAGATGAATGGCTGAATTCGGACCCAGTTGATACGAATGAAATATAACATTGTTCAATCGAAATGCTAACCGGAGGACATAACGATACTATTATATAAAATTTTAAGTACATCAGTGTCATATTTCTTTCCGTATATATGTGACGGTACACTTCTTGTGTTTTTATCTCAATTGCTCAAAACATTCTTGAAGTAGTCTACAAACTCAGTAGCTTCATGAGTAACGTGTTTTGTCTTTTCACAGTCACAGTATGACACATCAGAGCAAAAAATGTTCGTGCATTCAACTGATGAATCTCATAATAGGTTAAATTAATTGCTCTCGTATCCACTGTCAATCACAGTCCATCTGTGAATCCACTCATTCCTAAAAAAAAAGTTTAATCAATTCAATGTTAACTGATCATCAAAAGTTTAGTTGACTTTTTCATTCAAGATATAACAAATTTCTTATTTCACTGAGTTATATCATTTATTTCATTCTATTCAGTAAATTATTATTATTTTGACATGTTACAGATGTAATTTCAAATTTCGAATGTACTTTTTAGTTTTAAACTTGTCATTTGTGTAAAATGTCCTAGATGTAATTTAAAATTATACTTACACTACTACGGTTGGATATGAATGTTTTTTTTTGGTTATTTTCACAGTTGAATACTTTTTTGTTTGACTTTTATCCATTTTCAAGGACATTTGATTGTATTTTGTGAAGGAGCGAGAGTGGGGGGGGATTAATTCACACTTAGGTTGACAGGATTAAATAAATATTAAATTTTATTTGTAAATAAATAAATAACTAGATATAAACCATGATGAAGATGGTTTTAGGAAAATAAACTGATATATATATATATATATATATATATATATATATATATATATATATATATATATATATATATATAGATCATATGAATGAAAGATCATATTGCGTGCAGCTAGAAAGAAACAATTATGCTTGATAATTTTCAATCTGTATCCAAATCGGTGTCAGAAATGGCTAGTTTTGTAATGTCTTGTCGAAGCGATGGATCAGCAATTTAACATTTTTAACTTTCGAATACAAAGTTATTAGTTGGAATCATAGTTTTCCTAATTACATTTTAAGCAAGAAAAATGTTTATTATTAGGCCTCATACCCAACAGTATAGATGGAAACCTAGTACGTATAATATAAATATTTTAAGCACATAAACATTCGTACAAAGAGGCACCAAAATACAAATGCGCCATAAAAACCACTGAAATTATGTGTTAGCTGAGATACTGCTCGCGTACCTTTGCATGAGTCTTTGACATAAAATTCTAATCCACAAGGCAGTGGAGTACCGTTAGGCTATGCAGTCCGATAGTAGACTGTACCCAACAATAAGTTTGTTTCTTCATTACCCCGAAGCCCATGTGTACCAGTGGTTTGGAATCAGGGTTTCCAAACTTGCCTAGATGGATTCTTCATACCTACCTACCTACCCAGTTCAGGCGCCGGTCACTTGTCAAACTTTCCCTACTCTCGAACGAACCAGGGTATGTCATGGCATATATATATATATATATATATATATATATATATATATATATATATATATATATATATATATATAGTTTTCAACTGTTATCTGCTTATTAGCAGTTCTTTTTTATTTTATTCATGTAAATAAGAGGAAGTTTATTTCCTACCGGCTTCAAGTACAAATCACTTCATTAACTCATTAATTGAAAGTTAGTCATCGGTGGAGTAATTAATTACATCAAACCAACATAATGTTATTACTTCATTTTTCGGCAGTCTAATTTTCACAATAACAGAATGATGAGATATTTAGACAAACACATATTTCCAATATAATTACACGTGTGTGTATGTGTGTGCATTGATAACTAGACGATTACAAGGCGATTTTTCCACACCACGTCCATCACGTAACAGTTACAGAGAAAAAAATCCGTGATCAATGCTCTGTATTAGTTAAGGTTGCGTTTGTCCAAAAATTAGGGTACACATGCAGAGAGGTGAGGATGAAGTTTTTTTTTTAGTAGAAAAAAAAGTACGAAACTGTAGTTTAGTCTATGCCAAATTATATTCATGTTCGTTTATTATATATATATTTTTTCGTTGCCTTCATGCTGGCAAACGTTAAAGTACAAATATTCTATGCATTTAAAAAGAAATTTCGTCTCACATTAATTTTAATCTAGGTACCATTGACAATGAGAGTAAATTAGACCACTGTTTCTTCTTAGTATCGGGATCTTTTGCAACACACATCCACAACTGCACTGTGAGTTGAACCCAGGTATTGCGAAAGTTATGGCTGGTTTATTTCAAACATGTCTTAGCAAAATAGTTATCACTAGAAGCATTTGATGATCTGCATTACTTTAATTCCAATCGATCAAAACTGGAATTATACCATCGGTCCTTGACTCAGCGGTTATGGTCATTAAGTGTTTGCCATATGGCTTATAGGTTCTGAGTTCTACCTATCTTAGTCTCGTCCAAGTATTCCCATAGTCTGATGAAACAATTACTCTAGACCCTGCTTTTCAATTTAATCTCGACAGCGATCGATCTATAGCAAATACTGCTCACGAACATTTCATTTTATGATTTACATTAATTTTCGACTTGATTAGTGTTATAGTTGAGAATGATAAGTGCAAATAATTAGATGTTACTATTGCCACATTAGTCTATGACTGTGTTTTCGAATCCCATAGGGGTATGCCATTTTTTTCATGATTGTAGATACACTTCACTGACCGATGACAACTAACACGAAGCTTAGATATAGGAGTTATGCAGATCCATAGCAGTCAGTATTAAGAAGGTTGCTTGATGAAACCTTGCTACTATTCAGTCTTAAATTAACTGTCAGTTATCGATTCAGAGAAAAGCTAATCGCCAAAACCTATTTTACTTACTTACGCTTGTTACCTCTAGTAGAGCATACTCCGCCTACCAGCATTCTCCAACCTACTCTCTCCTGGGCCTTCCTTTCCAGTTCTACCCAAATACTATTCATTCTTTTCATGTCTGTTTCCGATTCTCGACTTGATGTGTTCTTCATTCTTCCTCTTCTCTTTTGGACTTGAGGAGCGCTTGACTCAAAGACATCTTCCAATTACATGATAATATGGTCTCACACTGGTGGCTGTTGGATTGAATCGATCAATATTAGACCAGCATTAGATACCTGGAAGCACTGGACAGCCATTTCATCCTGGAATGGGACTCATCAACAGTGCACATCCACGACTCCCACTACTCGCAGGATTCGAACCCAAGACCTTCGGTCTAGTGTGCTTCCAAGTTTCTAATGGTGATCTAACATTGATTGATTCGTGCTTTCAAAAGTAACTCAATAATCTTCACAACCTTATAATGCAAAATTCTCAATTCGTACAAATAGATCATTGTAAATTCATTTTTCTACACTAGTTCATACGGATTTTTTTATGCTCAAAAACATTTAGATGCTGGATTAAGTTTAACTATTGAAGGTATTCATTATGAACATGAAACACAAGAAACTGAATTAGATGTTGCAGTTCATATTGCTTCAAAAGTAAGTATAGATAATTAGAGTAATTATGATTTTGATCATATTATTATTATTATTCAAAACAGTGGTTCCCTTTGATAAACTTGAATAGAGAAATAAGAAGACATATTTTGTGAGATAGTACCATTTCGTGCTTTCTCGTCAGTCACATACAAGCAACATGTTATTTGTGTAAATACAGTTTTGAAGATAAGGTCAAAATTTCTTATTTAGCATGACATTCACTCACTAGAACCATGGTAAACAAAGGTCAACATACAGTTGTTTTTGAACACATAAAGTAATCTGAATTCGTGTTAACTTCCTCAGACTCGAACTTGTTATTCGCACTTTATTTCGTCGAAGCATTTTATTATAAATCCATGGGAAGTGGTTGTCAATAATGCATTTGTTTAGAAATTCCAACCTGACCTTCTCAACCATTAATTTACACTTCAAGTTGACTAGTGAGTGAATGTCATGCTAAATAAGAAATTTTGACCTTATCTTCAAAACTGTATTTACACAAATAACATGTTGCTTGTATGTGACTGACGAGAAAGCACGAAATGGTACTATATTATTATTATTATTATTCAGATATTGTTGTTGATTAATGTAATTTAATCTCAGTACATCTTGCATTGCTATCTTCAGCTCCAGATGAAATGAAGTTACCAACCAAACAATCTATGATTTAGTTTGTATCATCATGCGATAGAACTCAATTTTACAGTTTCAATTGTGACTTGTAGTGAAATTCATATCAGGTATTTCGTCCTTTTTCGTACTCATGAAGTGAATATACCCGCAGTATTTATGTTTCGGCTGAGACATTAATGTGTTATCCACTAAGGAACTGAATTCACACAGCTACTATTGTATTCAACAGGTACGATACTAAAACTTGTATCACAAGGACCACCGGTTCGAGGAAATCCGCCTAAGATTTATATTTCTCAACGAAGATTTGTCAAATTTCAGTCATGAATAACCTCGATCACACTTATCTAATACATATTTCCATTAATGAACCTAACTAGCATCTGATTTACTGTTGTTATTTTTATTTCAAATGTCATTGCATGTCATTGTATTTATGACATCTGTTAGGATTCCCATCTATCTCCATTTAGCGTGTTAAGTATTTCCGTTTCCGTTTCCGTTTTATTGTAGGTTAGTCATCCGGCCTATTGAGTTCTTATTAGTCTTATCTTTTAAAGAACACTTTCTTCAACCGTTAGAACTTAGCAACGATAGCATATAAAACTTACCCATTATGCTGATGTGAAATCTTAATGCACACAAAATTTTAAATCTACAACACTTTTCTTGTCTAACCTAATGAAATATTATGTAGGCCAACAGGAGTTAATCAATGCAAATATTACTTACCATAAATCAACAAATGAAAAGTACAAATAACCATTTACGTGTATGTACACACACACACACATACACTTAATTATCTATCTATTCGCATTAGTTCAGAACTATATGATTCACTTAATACAATTTTCAACTAGAAGAAAGTAGACGTCTGAACTGTAATAAATATATTTATATTATTTACAGAAATATTACAAGACTATGGTGTGATTTTAAACGAAAATAAGTGAAAAATTTTAAAATGAACAACCAATTTTTAATAACTTTATTTTCATTACTGTAAAAAAATTATCAAATCGTAAACACTGTGTGTTACAGATACTTTGCTTGACTGACGTTATATTCCCAGTCAGAATGATATATGATGTAATCTTGATAGAACCTTATTCAGTTATCAATCAGTTGTAAAGAAAATGTTGCATGGTGCCTCAGTGGTTAAAATAGTCAACTTTCAGTTACCGTGTCGCTGGTTCGACTTTGGCTTTATCTACACTTCGGTTATATCACTTGGGTGATATCACTAGCTGTTACATTTAGAGTATGACATGAATCAGCCAGCTGGACGAATCATTTGCACTGCGCCTGGTGTCAGTGAAATTCAATAGATATAAATTTAAACAGATAAATAGCTCAATGTTGATTTAATTTAAACTACAAGTGTCGTATGTGTTAACAAACAACCACTTGTGATCAATGTTATGTACATCGAGTTATTCTTGGTACCGATTAAATTCTGTCAATCACGTTGACACTGGTCGCTACTCAATAATTTGTTGATCATAAATAAATTTCAATCCTACTGGCGGCCAATCACGGTCATAATAGAACAGCAGCAAAATCTGACTGTGAAAGCTGGGTGGCATGTCATCATATCTACCAAGAAGCATCAGTCACCTTAAGATTAGAAGTACACCTTGCTGATGAGTACCAAATAGCACGAAACCTATATCCAAGGTCTCATGTTGACTGCCATCAGTCATTATCCTACAAATAACGTGTGTGTTTATGTACAGTGATGAATTACCCTTCATGTTATTCAATGTAAAATAAGTGTTATCAAGTTAAGTGTAATCATTTAAACAGTAATAATAATAAAACATGAAATAAGATTGTGTAATATACATTGGAGATTTTTCATAGTACCAAAGGCCTTTCCAAAGGCTTTTAAAATGTTTGTGATAATTTCCGTATTGTCTTTCACAATTGTAAGAATAATCTTTCTCCTAGTTTACTTGTTCGATCATTTTTACTGATTTTTGTCGTTAATTGGTCACACTACACTACGAAATACAAAAATCATGCTATTATCATTTAACCTTAATTCTTTTAAATAAGTTGTATGCATCACAGATTGATTTCATTTGAGGGTAACGATAAAAGCCAGATTGGCGTAGACAACTGCTTCGTCTTAGTAGGGGACTCAAGCAGTGCGCATTCGTAACCAGGTCCCAGGCCCTAAAGACTCTAGTCCTCACAGTGAACATTCGACCATTCCTAATAAAAAGCTACCATCATCCAATCACATTGGTGACATTGATTTTTGATGTTACTCCTACTACCGAATTATAGCTAAAAATCAATACAATAAGTTAAACATTTTTAATATTCTACCAACCTTGAGTATAAAATATAACTGGTAGTCAATAGTAATTCACTACATAGGTCAGTGACTATCATATCTTATTATATATTTCTCAAACGATTTTTTTCCTGATTTTCTCCATAAAAAACACCTTCAACCAGGTGATCTCCGACAATGTTGCTTGTAGACCGACTTATTTACAATTAGAATTTATTGAACCAAAAATTGAAACATTAAAATCGCGAGTATCCAGTAAACAGACAATATTTCGAATTAAACTACCAGCTAATCAAAAAGAAATAAATTTGGAAATACAATTATTCATTGGTTCAGTGGATCCTACACAAGCTGAAGCCAGTACAAATCAATCGGTTTCATTCAAGAATCCATGTAAGTTTCAAATAAGGTAGATTTTTATTGTTTTGGACAATGTTTCTGTTTGTTTTCTCCTTCAAACTATTCTTTCGAAATATTTTTTTAAAATTGACATGATGAATCGATCACTTTCAGCCCACCATTAGAAACCTAAAAGAAATGGACGGCCGTTTTATTCTGGTATTGGACTCATCCGCAGTGCGTGCTCACGATTCCTGCTACTTGCACAAAATCGAACCCAGGACCTTCAGTCTTACGCGCAACTGCTTAACATGTACACCACAGTGTCGTTGTCTAACTTCGGTCATTTATTGCATATCAATTCCTCTTACTGAGATTCTGGCATTATTTTTCTTTTTGAATAGTCCCATTGCTATTTCAATGATTTCCAACTCTTTTTCTGTCACCGGCGATCAATAACCTCTTTTGTTCATCATTTCAACTTCTTACTCTACAATTGAATTAATGATAGAAATTGTCTTAATGTAAAGAGAGATCTTAGTACACCCTAATGTTAACTGGAGAAACACTGAGAGCCAAAATACAGTGCTAAATATTCGATTTTAAGTTTATACTCCTCATCAATCATCACACTTACAACCGTAGGGAAAGGATCCAACGTAGGGCCTTCAGGTGTCCCCGAAATCGTTTTACCTCTAGGTAACTGGGTGCTCCATTCTTCTAACTTCATGATAAAACTTGATCGTCATCCAATATGATCAACAATCAACTTCATCACAGTCTGACATTAGATACAAAAATATAGAGCTGATAAATACACTAGACACTAGTGTTTTCATTCATATATATAGATGGACAATATAATCTTCTCATAACTTATCAAGCGATAACGATGCAGATTAACTCAAGTAACTTTGAGAACGATTTCTTTTCATACTTAAAATAGTCGAAGTTAACGGAAGCAAAATACTCAAACTGGATAAATGAATCTAGTCATTGGTCAACTATGAGATATTTATGATGTAAATACCAGTAGTGTTTATGATGCCAGAAAAAATCAACTAATAATCAGAGAATATCAGAAAGCTTCAATAATCTGCCCATCATTTACTGCTGTCATTTTTTCCATTACTCGTTTGTTCAAAAACAATACAACATTGATCAATACAGATCGCTGAAAAATAAAAGATGATCAATAGGGAGAGAGAGAGAGAGATGATAGGTATATTCTACTCAACGCTCAAAGATAATTCAATGATATTCATATTAGTCTTGTCTATTTTTAGTTTATGCTATACATTCTGTTATGTGTTTCGCCTTTATATCTTGGTTATTCTAAACTTTTATAGCTTGGTTTTGTATGTATATACATGTATATATATGTTTAATTTTTATGCTATTAGATGGGATGGGAAAGGATTAAGTAATGGTTGACAATCATTTTAAACGATTAAAGGAATTTTATCCTTCCAGTTTATTCTATTCAATTATGCTTTATTCAGATATTATATTCTTATGATATTACTTGCTTACTTATTTACTTAGGTTTGTTGCCCCTAATGGAGGGCATATGCCACTTAATAACATTCTGCAACCTATTCTCTCCCAGGCCTTTCTTTTCAGTTCTATCCAATTGATATTCGTTCTTTTGATGTCTGTTCCCAATTCTGGACTTAGTGTTTTCTAATCTTCCTCTTCTCCTTTGGCCCTGTGGATTGCAAGTTGAGAGCTTGTCTTGTAACGCAGTTGGATGATTTCCTCAATGTGTGTGTATCCCATCCAGTCCTAGCGATTCTTATGATATAATGATAGTTATATGACAGGGCTTCATTAGTATTATTTCAATCAATTATTTGAATAACTTATTAGCTGTCAGTAATTTTCTGCAAGATTTTACTCCATGACCAGAAAATGTTTTCATCTTCTCAATTAAGCAATAGTTGAAAACAATTAATTACCGTTCAATAATTTTAGGTTAATGCCTCAAGGAGATGAGGTTTATTACATTCGAGTTGTACAGAGGTTCTTAGTGGAATACAGGATGTAATGTCTTGTTCTATTCCTAACTTATCAATTGCATATACCTGAATTTTAGTTTCAATGTTCACATTGATATTTGAGCCTAATACGATTTCACTTAAAATATCAGTTTAGATAATAGTCAGAGAGTACTGGAACGTGTTTAATACAGCATCTAGAAAGTCTTGTGTTTGATCCCCGGCCTGATCGTAGATGACCACTTCTACGGAGTAGAAGCCGTAAATTGTAAGATACATATTGCTTGTAAGAATAACTAACATAGCACTCTTCAATATCAAATTATTTTTTTCATGTGAATTGAAGAATATTGAAATCGTGAATCAATCCTTGTCAGACCATCATTAAAAGCCTCGAAGCATTGGACGGCCGTTTCATTTTAGTATGGGACATATTAGCAGTGCGCATTCACGGAAATCGAACCTTTATTTGAATCCTATATAAAGTGAAATCATACTATTTTTTTAAATATTGAACCGTTGTTTAACTATACTAACTTAATGTTGATTCATGAAATTCTTTGTTTTCATTGTTATTCCTTTCTCTTCTTTGTTTTTCAATTTTTTGTATGATGAAAATTAACATTTTTATTCTGTGTGTTGCAGACTTTCTTAAAGATTTTTTTTCTATCCTCATCTATCATGCTAATATATTGTATGTTTGTCGTATGGATTTATTTTGTAGAATAGTTGATTTTCTAGTTCTTATACATATCCTAGACAAAAGGGAACGAACTGTAGTTGTGAACATTACTGTCGTTTTTTTCTTCTCTATGCATAAAACACTTCATTATACGCTGATAATAAGACAAGATGAAAAATATAAACTGGTCATACATAATGGCACATCTTAAATTTGATTGAGAACTTGGAATGTTGAGAGAAACAAGAACACAATGTCAGAATTTTATTGACATCATGAATTAACCTAAATTAGATATCTCTTTAAAACTAGCAGGGATTGTGTAGCTGTCTCATCTTTGGGGTCCGGATTTCGCGCTGCTGAGCAGTTCCATTCTTAGGACTTAACAACTATCCATCCTTTTTCCAGTTTTCAGTAGATGTCTAACTTCAGTTGGTTCGTGATATAGCTAACATTCAATGCTCTCCACAAGCCTACATACTGATTAGTCTTATTTTGTTGCATTGTCTTTCACTGGGGCATACTAAAAAGGATTCTCTTATGCTCTAGGAAACGTTGTTCAATGAACATTCCATGTTCTTGTCTTTTCAAGAGCAGGTGGGTGCGCACTTCCGATGAGTCCCATACCATGATGAAACGGCCATCCAGTGCTTCCGGTTTTCTAATGGTGCTCTAACGATGATTAAATCACGATGTTAATATTGAATAAATTAATGCTGCATCTAGTAAACATGTTCTTTTTATTTGACTAATTCAATCTTCTGCATAATCTTTCATACTTTGTCATTAGTTGGCAGTACTTTTAGTTATCTAATTTTCAGTATGCTTGAAATTCATAGATTCGTTACCATATATATATAGAGTTTAATCATTTCAAGTTGTTTCTACACTTCATATTCACGCTATGTTAGCAGCTGATTGTTGAAATGTTGTGTCCTGGTTGCTTTTATCAAGTCCGTGACAAAATCGTTTTATGTCAGAATAATTCAATTGCTCCTTAATTCTCAATTATTTTAAGCCTACTAGAAATCATTACATATAGATATATACATACAGTCGTTTCTATCCAAGACATAAACCCAAAACAAGTTGTTTAAAATTGCATCTTCATTAAATCGAATATAGCTACTTATAAATTCATTCTACACACAGGCACACCTGATGAATAAACACTATAGAAATGTTCATAAAAAAAATACTCTGTATCATTCTGCAAAATAAACACAAATTGTAATTATCACATATAATGAATGTTCACACCTGTTATACTGAATGAAATTCATACATAATTAGTAAAAGCATATATTAATTAATCTGTTATAATATAATACTGAAAAATCCTGAACTAATATCGTACTAACAAAAATGTTGCATTCAGGTTAAAATTATTGTCGAAATATCACTATTGAAATGAACATTATGTTATAAAATGTTACATGCATTTAGAGAAAATGTCTACTCCTCTTCTTATTCTTGACTTTTCAAAAACCTAGATCAATGGTTTACCTCCAATTACATAACAATACTAGATTTCCATAATCCTGATCAAATTAACAAAAATCTCGACAATATATATCAAGATTTGTTGTCTGTTACCTGGATGTTAGTTAGTTGGAAACAACCGACCATGGACACTTGAATCTTGATTTTGAGCTAGTTAGTATCTGTCTATATGGATATATAAATTTGAAGGAACTGACTTCAGCCCAGGGATCTCAAACATCATTACCTGAGTTTCTCGTGGTAATTTATATTGACTTTTGGTGTTTGTCTCTACCCTTTTTTCAATGTGAGACTAGCCCGAATCGATCTATCTATCGATGTAAGCGCCTTATTTTGTATTTCTTTTTTTTTCAATCGGCAGTTTACATTCCAACGGATGTGATCATTGATGCACAGAATCAATTTATTCAATGGTATGGTCTACCGACTATTTCAACTAATCTTCTTCAACATTACACCACTAAATTGTCTGGTTTGCCAAAAGCATGTGAACAAGCGAAAGAATTTGATTTGCCAATTACACAACAAGAAATTGGTAAATGATGTTGTGTTTCAGTTTTTGTTTGCTTGTTTGTTTTTTTCTTTGTGTTGGCAATTATCCGATTGGTTGAAAGAAAGAAAAAAACATTTGGAAATCGGCTAGCATTTTCGTCAATACAGCAATCTAATAATAATAATAATAATAAAATGCCTCAGATAATCGATCATTTGGACAACTAATATTTTTTCTCTTGTCAGTTTTTTTTATGATTTTGTTTTAAAATTGAGAAAGAAAAAAACTCGAAACGTTGAATTTTAATCAGTTCATGTTCATCTTGTGTTGTACATTGGCTCGATCTAGGCTATTTTCTTAACGTTTTATATAGAATAGATCAATAATAAGTAGTTAACATTGGGATACACGGTGAACGAATTTTATTTCTGCGAACATGTATGTAAGGAAGCCATTTTGTAAGAATGCTCTTTCCAGCGAATTACGAACAGACGTTCCTAAGTACATATAAGGGGCATATGTTAATAACTAGTTTCAGACCACCTGATGGGCGTTATAGATGGGTTATGGGTGTGAAATGTGGCTATTAAGAATAGAAGATATTTTTGGGTTACTATTATTGAAACACAAGTGTCTTCGATGCATTGCTCGTATATATATATATTTTTGGACCACTGAGTAAAGCCATACTTGGATTAGAGATGTGGTACTACGTAAAGAAGTCAAATTAATTGATAAACTAGAGAATCTATATCAACTGAAGGGGTTTGGACATATGCTTCAACACTGCTTACCTTAACAAATGATATTGTTTAGAATAAAGCTGGCGGCAACCATACCAAACACATACCATCAGTTCATGAAATCATTGACAATCGGAATGAACCATGCTAACATTAGTAGACTGCCTTTATTATTGCATGAGTTCACTTATTCTTGAGTTGTATTGTCTATGTCCAATATTTTCCTCTTATTAAGAATCATGTTTCCTACTTGTACTATACTGAATATTGTTTAACAATGTAAATCCACAACCTTATAATCCAAACTATCATATGCTCACTAGTGACTAACTTCCTGAGGAAGTTTCTTCGGGTTCTAGTAAGAAGTCGTGACCTGTGGATTGCGAGTGTAAAGCAGTGCTCACCGAAGATAGCGGATAAGGTTGCATAAGACCATGGATTGATCGAACTTAGACATTAGTACCGTTTTAATGCTGGCCCAGTGGTCCAGGGAGCTAAGTGTTTGCGCTTTAGAACGAAGTTCTTGGGTTCGACTCCTGCGAGTAGCGGGAATCGTGGATATACTATTATTATTATTATTTTATCATTTTGTAATTAAACTCCAGATACTAGACATTCACATAAAATAGAATTTTGATTGCTATTATTCAGAAAAGAAAAATAATATGAAATCTACTGAATTTTAAATTTTTAAATTGTCAATCATTATTCAACATAAATAAAAAAATTTTTTATCAACATATAATATTTCAACGTTCACTTTTATTTCTTTTTAATGGGATTAATATTTTATGATTTTCCATGTTACTATGATTATTATCAACATTGGTTACCAAGGTTGAATTGTCACGAAATTAAATTACCCATAAGAATAGTGAACACAATAGATTAATTCAATGCCCAATTTCATATTAAAACGTAAACATAGAATTTGAAAATGAAACTAAGATATTCATCAAAATTGTTGTTTCTTCTTATTTCACATTTATACATTTATGTTATTGAATATGATTTTTGTTTTGTTAAAAGTAACCAGTGATTCAATTGATTCAATAATCATTGAACGAAAATTATTTTTTTTGTTTAAATAAACCATTTCGATATTGAGTTTAACTTAATTGTATTCAAAAAATCTTATTAAAAATCAGTTTGTGAACATAAGTAATATCTATAGGATTGTTGATGAATTTTACAATTGTTTTTGACAAAATTATTTATGATACTCAACTAATATCGAAGTTAGATTAACAGCAATTAGAAGAAAATTGTGTGATGTTTTTTCGGCCAACGATCTGACTTCAATTTTTACAAACAGTTAAATTTGCTATGAAATAACCCTGTTTGTACAACGACAGTGATTAAATGCCCAATACGGCTTTACGGATGAACTTATTCCATACATTCATTGAAGCAGACAGACATGAGAATAAAAAGCCTACAAACAAAGAGAAGTGGCAATGGCTATGTATCTATAGTCAATCAAACATAAGCCAAACATATGCAGTAAGCTGGGTAAGCAATTCACACACTCACTCAAATAAAACCGACCAAAATATAAGCGAATAATTGACAAAATTGAGGATGCACATGTGAATAATAACTGGAGAAGAATGAATTCATTGATTCGTGCAAGGGCTGGGGCACAAACCCTGTGGGCTCGTCATATTTTTTTTACACAAACTACCATTGTCACGGAAGAAATCCTAACCAAGTGGAGAAATGTGATAGATTCACTTTTAGCTGTGTGTGTAAGATGATCACAAATAAAAACTAATGTTTAGCCTAGAAATGAGACAAAACTTTTACCACTCATGACTTCGTTTTTAATGGCAGTCTAAATGATGTAAATCTGTAATTAATACTGTTGAGTATTAACACATTGAAACCATGAGGCAATCACTGTTAGACCATCATTGGAAACCTGGGAGCACTGAAAGACATCCATTTTGTCCTGGTACAGGACTAAACAGCAGTGCGCATCCATGACTCAAGCTACTTGAAGGATTCGAACCCTGGATCTTCGGTCTCATGCACCAACGCCTAACCTCTGGACTACTGGACTGGCATCCAATATTGCTAATGTATAACTCTAATCAATCTAGGTATTTTGCGTGACCTAACCCATTTGTCTTCGGTAGTAACTGGCTACACCCTTCAGGGCTGACGTCCACTGGTCACATCTTCTCATTCGAATCCCAAGAATTTCCTCATGAAGCTAGTCACTGGTCAGCACATTGAACGATTTTCTATTTTTTTCTACGCATTGCAATCATGAATCAGTGATTGTTAGACCACTACTACTGAGTATGTATGCTTGGATTAATGGAGGTGTTAGCATCAAATTTCTCATGGAAAAACAAGTGTCTTCTAGTTGTAAATATTGCAAAATAAAATGAAACTATTAGATTACTGTTTATCATCACTTGCGAAAACTATATTTGAAAAATTATATTGTTAGAACTTTGTCCTTCAGACTTGAATATTTTAAAAGATTTGTATCACATTTTAAAAATTAATTTACATTTCACAAAATTATTGATAATGAGATAATGTTTCTCATCAACTATGATACTACTTTAGAACAATGATATAATATAAACTAGAGCCACACAGATATAAGTGAACAATATTGTTTTCAATTAGATTGTCTTACTGAAATCATGAATTGATCAATGTTAGACCACAATTAGAAACCTGGAAACCCGGACGAAATGACCGTTTAGTGCTTCCAGGTTTCTAATCGTGGTCTGACATTGATCGATTCATGATTTCAATAAGCAACTCAACATGATCCACAACATCACAATTCGAATTCGATTGTCCTCAAGCTTTATTCTAATATACATGAATATTGTAATGAAAATGTTAAATCAACCGAAGTCGATAATCACGATGAAATAAATTACGTAACTACACATAATAAGGTAAAAATACAACTTGATAGTAGGAACTCACAGGGATACTATTAGTAATGGTAAGAATAATAAAGTACATTCACAAAAATTTTTGTCATTCGTTTCAACATTGTAAGGAGTAGGTCAAATCTGGCTAAATAAACATTTTTCAGATCAATTACGTCTTCTCACTGTTCTATCAAAACATAAAATGGTTAGGCATTCGCGCAAAATACCGAAGGTCCTGGGTTCGAATCCTGCGAGGCGCAGGAGTCGTGGATGCGCACTACTGATGAGTCCCGTAACAGGATGAAACGGCCGTTCATTGCTTCCAGGTTTTTAATGGTGGCCTAACAATGATTGATTGATGATTTCGAATGATTTCAAAAACAGAAAACCTCCAAAACTCTGCCCTAAAATAATAATCAAAAAGCACTATTACAATTAGGTAATAAAAAGAGTGTGTAATAATTAGATAGTGAAGAAAACAAATGATAAACCAATACAATATGATGATAACACATGTCGTAATCACTTTAACCATTTAAAGATTTTCAACCCAATTAATTGATTCACCATATCTGATTACAATATTATCCATTTCTATGTTAAATAAGTAGTCCTTTACAAAAAATAGTATTTTTATAAGTTCCTGATGATTGTTGTATGGTATGATTTTTGTTTGTTGAAAAAAACAAAATTTCTACTTGATTATTTCAGACAATGGAACAATTTATAGAATTAACTTAAAAGATATACCTGATTCAACTATCACAAAAAATGGATTGGCTATTGATTATACATTTAAAGTTACACCAGTATTTAGGGGTATCGATGGGAAATCCATAACCATGGGTACTTCATCTGATATTACGTTTTCAATGGGTCGAATGGGTAAGTTGTATTATTATTATTATTATTACCATTGATGACGCTACCTATAATGATATGAACCTTTCTGGAATTTCACGCGGTTAGTTCTTGCTGATAAATGTTTGTGAAGCAAGTACAACGAAATTTGCGCGATAAAATAAATTCATCTTCATGCACGTGTTATGACTCAATCGTTCATATACCAATAGCATGTATTCATTAGCACCTCTCACTTATTATTTGGCCTCGAACTGGTATGGCTAAATTATCTCAGTTCAACAATAGTTTTGCATTATTACCGGAGGTGGATAGTAGCTAGTAGTGGAATGCAGGACGCGCGTTTCGTCTGATTTGGGACTTTTCAGCTGGATATACATACATCCCAGAGTTGATGTTCATTCTGAACTCGAACGCAGTACCTTTCACTTCAAACACCATCGCGTTATCTACTTAGTGAACACTAACTTTGATCTTTAGACTCATCCAGTGGATAAGTCCTAAATACGACTAAATGAGACTAAATATGGAAGGAGATCACGAATCGATCTAAGTTAGACAATCATTGAGAATCTGGGAAAACTGGACTAATATTCCGTCCTAATATGGGAACCCTCGGCAATGTGCACCCACCACTTTTCAAGACGGACTCGGATCCGGGCCTCTCGATTTCACTCGAGAACTCTTAATCTCTACACCACTGAGCCGGGATCCAGCGGCGTGTAGTTTCAACCTTACTCATACCCGACACGGCTGGCCTCCACTGGCCATGGCTTAATGCATAATGACAGGACAAATAATATTAACGTAATCATAATGATAGTAATAACTGTAGTAAATGATGATATAAGATAATGAAACCAGTTGAATATCCACATTGTTGAGGGCGGGGGAGGGACGAGTCACACGCTTTATTAGATAATATTAAAGTAGTATAACCAGTTATGACAATAATAACAATCACACTTTAGAAAGATATCAGCTTGACCGTAAAGAACAAACAAAACTTATGAGGAGTGTTGAATAATATTAATAGGTTATACAAACAATGAAAATAATAAACCTGAAATTTTCATACAGATTTTTAAAAATGAGGTCGAATGCTAATAATAAAGCACCATAGTGTTAGGTGAAGCAAAATTTATCCTTGTGAACAAAAATTAATATTAAAATGACAAATAAACTACTATCTCCACGTAGCATAGAAATCGTTCATTTTTCCATTTATACGTCATACAAAAAAAGCCATCCAGTATCTAAATAGTGAGAATTTATGTCCATGGCACTGCTAGCTAATTCAAGGCCTGTGTATGTGTGTTTGTTGGCATTTCTAAAAGCCTACCAAAGCCGATAAAAGTTTCATAACAATGATACGATTTCTGGAATTTAATTTTTTTTTTGTACGAACATTAAACTGAACAACACAATGTAAGAAAGATATTGTGTTTGAAGTGCGCCGGAAGATACACATACTTACAAGTTGGTCATACTAAGAAAGTATATTTCTTGTTATTGTGAGACATGAAAAGCAGAACTGAATCAGTATTGATAGTCTTTTTAAAATTTGGGAATGCTTAATGAGTAATTGCTCTAAATTGATCATACTCGATCATTATATGAGTAGTAATTTAGGTAGATTGTGTTTATTAAACCTTACTTCTGCTACAATAAATCCGCGACATAGGAAATGTGTTCGATTGTAAACCATTCAGTCTGTTGGAAGAGAGTGAGACTGGATGGGTTGATTGTCTGAGATCAGATCACCTCCCTACTTTAGCTTCTATACTTTCTGTCTTACTGATCCTACAGAATCATCTTGGTACGATAAAAGCTCAAGAAACAAACATCTTAAGCAATATAGATGCATTAAATATTTATGATGGACAAAAGGAATATGAATTAAATCTTTCCTCCAACTTTCGCATATCATTCCTAGGCGGACTCTGTTTGTGCGACGGCGGTGATTAGAAGCCCAGTACGGTTTTTTGTGGATGAATGTAGATTTCATACACTCGCGGAAGCAAGCAAACAATGGAATACGAAGCGAAGCAAACTAAAGCGGACTAAGGTAGTGGCTAGACATATGAGACACACGAAGTAAGCCATCCACACACACTCAACTAAAGTGTGTAACTGGCAAGGTCAAAAGACGTGCAAACAGTAACTCACACAGAAAAGGTTAATTCGTTTATCCGAAACCTAGAAGATAAACCATATGGCCTCAACACACACACACACACATTACAATTCATATAAATATACTTTTGTCATCTTTTACTTTATTTCTGTTCTATTCCTAGGTCAAACTGAGCTTAAAGCTCCTACTTCCGGTCGATATAATTCAATACAAGTACAAGTTAAACCGAGTCAATTACCTAGTTGTCTTAATTTAGAAACATTAAATACTCAATTCACATTAAGAGTCATTGGTGAAGTGGTTGAATATCCCGATTATATAAAACAAGTGAATTATGTACCGATTACAACAAAAACCAGTGAAACATTGAATGATAAAAACAACCATGTGAAATGGTATAAAATTGAAAATTTATTACCTGGTCGACGTTATGAACTTCAAGTAAGTATGTCTGTACTGCGAGAATAATTGACGAAAAAAATTACGTTACATTTCTTATTTTTTGGTTTTTATTTTTAATGAATACGATTCTACAGTTGATCGATAGCTCTCCTCGATGTTTCTGTCTTTTGATTGTGTAACACTAAGTCTAGTTTCAAAAGATCCTCTTCCTACTATTGACTAACTTAAAAATGACTTTCAACAGTTTAAAAGAAAGAATTTCATATTTCCTGGAGTACATTTCAAATAATACTCTATGAAGTATTATATGTTCCGAGCAAGCTGTTTTAGGTATAAAAAGTTTTTTCATGCGGTTAAATTTGTGTAGACACATTGTTGAATAGTTTAAATAGTGTGATATCAGTTCATGCAGGATTGTTTTCAATGAAAATCACTGATCAGCTAAATAATACCTTCATATATTAGATAACATGTTGCGATATAAATTCTAAAACGAATATCGTACTAAGTTGAGTTTTTAATCTATCGTCATTTTTAAAAAAAAAAAATCAATTCCTCATAAACCACAATACAAAGAACGAATGTAGATGGTATTCCTATGAATAGGTGATTTCGTGTTGCTGATATTGACAACTTGAATTGATCGATCTCTATTGCTGTATGCTTATCTTAAATTGGTTGATTACTTTGGTATAATATTATTTCATAAAAATCTGATTAGTAATAATTAGGTTAATTACAAATCATTACAAATACTTTCAGATTCTAGAATAATGTTATTTCTGCAGTTATGGAGGTCAGTGTTTTTACACAATGAAATCACCAATCAGTCATTGTTAGACCACCATTGAGAAACCTGGAAGCACTGAAAGACGGCCGTTTCGTCCTGGAATTGGATTCATCAGCAGTGCGCATCCTCGACTCCTGCGAGGTGCAGGAGTCGATCTCTCGCGCGAACGCCTAACCTCTGGTCCACTGGATCGTCATCAACTTTGTTAATGTCCAAATCTGATAGATCTACGGATTTTGTGTGACCTCACTCATTTGTTTTCGGTAGTTACTGCCTACACTCGACAGGGTTGAAGTCCACTGGTCACATCTCACTGGAACTCTGAGAGTTTCCTCATGAAGCTAGTTACTAGTGAGCACATTGTACGATTTTTTCTGTTGAATAAGCTGAATGGGGAGACATTTACTCAGTGCCATTCGGCATTTGATGTGTAAATAACCGGGGTTTGAATTTTAGTGTAAAGGTGAGCATTGAAAGATACAGGTATATCCAACTGACGAATCAATGACATATATAATGAAATGTACCTTCACAATTCTATGACTAACAGTATACCAAAATATTCAAGAAATAAATTTTTAATAGTTAAATAAATGTTAAAGATATCCTATTTCATCAGTTAAAACATTGAATAGGAAAAATGCACAAAACTCATATAACAAATGTTTCTTGCATACATCATTTGTAAATTGAAGAAAATATACTACATAATAATATGTGTATTTATATGCAAGAAAAATGTTTCTTTTAACTTTCAACGTTGATTGTATTAACTACGTTGACATTTTCGAAAATTTCTATTTATTCCTTTTTATGGTTACCAAATGAGACGATTACTTTTTTTCACATGCTTGGATGTCTTTTGAGAGTAAGACTATGCCAAATTTCAGTGGCGTAAACGAAGACTGATGACTTCGTTGTATATATGTATATATACTTCAGATTGTAAGTATAGCGATCCTAGACCTAAGCTTCGTATCAATCTGTACTAGTTAGTAAAAATTGTTTGAACTCTTAGAGAGAAATGACATCCCACTCGAATCCACATCACTTTCAGGATTACCATTGAGAACTTTCAGCCGCTTTTCATCCGTACACATGATATCTAGTCATTAAGTTTTAGTGGCTGAAATACAAGTTGATCTTTAGTGGTTCAAGATTAAACTCCAGTGTAGACAAATGAACGAGTGTGCAATGAAATAAATCTCCTGTCCATTTCCATATATCATACTTAGGCAAACTGCGTTCAAGCAACGGCGGTATTAAGAAGACAAATATGGTGTTGTCGATTAATTTATTGTATGCATTCATCTATGCAGACAGACATAAGAATAGGAAGCGTACAAGTAAAGCAAAGCAAAGCGAATCGGAGAAGGCTGGTGAGCCAACTCTCCAACATTGAAGCAATGCCTATGTATTCATAGTCAAGCAATAATAAGCTAGACATGCAACAAGCGAGTAAACATCCACACACAATCAAATCTACAATAATCGATACTGTAATCGAATTATCACAGATCAAGAGAATTTGATCAGCAATAAAAATAAAGCAGTCTAGACAAACATTATATGGATCATCGTTCAGGTATAAATCAATAAATCATAGAGATTGCAGTTAATTTGTAAGATTATTACATAACTCAATTAAACTTTTCAGTATTCCATGAAATTCTTGCATTGAGACATAGGAGAATATAATAACAGGAGATGGTGTTATGCAACTTCTTCCGTTGTAATGATATCCTGTGTATTGATTTGTTTAGTTCTTTCTGTTTTATTCAATTCTTTAGATTGATATTCTATAGAAATTATATTAAAACCAATCAATTATCATTAGAAATAGACTATACTACTTATGATCTTAGTAGAATTATGCCATGTGAACTTTATCAGTATAAAAAATCAGTCGATTCTTTGAGATGAATCATTCTACAATCTTGACAATAGTAATAAACAAATACTTTACTGATCAATAATATTGAAAAGTAATTTCCAAAGTTTTAATGAGTAGCTTCACAGACAGTTTAACACATACTCATGACATTAAAAGATGGCTGTTTTTCAGTATTGTGAATTGATTTAAGGCAGACTATTAAATCTTTTGATTATATGGATCGAGTGTATTTAAATTATCTGAAGCTCGTAAAGATTCAATTGTTAATATGATTGTGTACAACCACTGTTTAGTTTTTCTGTACTACAAATGTTTTCAGGTGTATAAGAATTGTCTAACTAAGATCAGTTCATTAATTAGTCTGTTAATATTCACTTGTTCATGATATAATTTCAAGTTAGTTTGACTTATAAAGTTCACTTATCATACACATACATTGTGACAAATAAATGAACTTGTTCATGACACTAATTACTTAATATATAAATACGATTTGGTTATTAAAATTAATTAATGAAATATTTGTTCTCTCTAGTTATTTAGTGACTTCCAGTATAATCTGTAGAATAAACTGAACATTGCTCAGAAATTCAAATTGTCCTGTACTCGTACGCACACTGTCACTGCTAACATAGAAAAAAATTTTCATTCAATAACCACTGAGTGTTGATTAAAGTCATACTTGTCTAGTTCTCTCACAACTTACTCATTTCGGTTGATCACGTTACAATCTGATCACCAAGGACTATTACTTAAATCTCACAGAGAACACCAGTCCATTCATTAATTGAGGTACATCCTACTAGTAAGAAACAAAGTTCAAACAGCTTTTTCTGTTAAACAAGCCGAACCACCCAAACAATAAAAGAACCACGTTCCATTTGAATTTTGGCACGAACGTTTACGTCTAGTCAACACTTGACTTTTTTTTTTTCTTAATAACTCATTTATAAACTGCTTGGTAATAAATTTTGGCTAAAGTTTATTGAAGATTACATTATTCATTATTTATATCTAAGTTAAAAACTAGTTTTTCTTTCAAAGATAACAATAAATATGTATTTATAATCTTTTTTTTATGATTTATTTGTTCGAACTATTTATTCATTTAAAAGCTACCATGGAAATGTCAAACACCAAAGTTAGTTTTGAACGTCTCCTTCCATAATCTATTAAGTTCCAGACGCATATTTTTTCATAAGTATATCTATTTCTTTCACCAGATATATTTCTGTAATTAACTAAAAGTCCGACAGATAAAAGAATGATTCATTTACAAAACCACATATTTTTCTTTCCAGTGATTTATTTATGGATCGAGTAGGAGTTAGTTAGACGCATCAAAATTATCATTTAAAGTGAACCTACTTAATTGTTTTGCAGTAGTATAAACTGTTCAGTGAAATATTCGAAAATAAGTGGCTCAAAATAGACTTTGAATCAGAAATAAAAGCTGTATAAACATGTTAAATAATGAAGTAACAGTGTTTACTGTTATCTAAACAACAGCCTGAACAATTGCGAAACGTGATTATCAACCCTTGATCATTGAATACACAGCATAAATGTTATGGCTAGAAGTAGGATATGTAGATTTCTGAACCATTGGCCGGTCATAAATAACGGAAGATATATGTTGTTTTAATTCCGTTTATTAAAACATTATATCATATTAAATCACCGTAAAATGTTATTAAGTGCATGTAATAGGTCGAGTATATAACATTTTCTCAAACTAACCATCATTATTGATGTTTTAAAAGGTGATTGAATTACTTATTCTAGAATTTTGCTAATAAATGCAGATTTTACAGCTTGAAACTTCACATTTTTTTTCAAGTTATTTAATCTCCTTATTTTTAAATAAAGCTTAAACTTTACATTCGGATCCGACACTTTTTTTGCGGCTGTAACTTCAGGAGACACTACTACTATACATCAACTGCATGCTACTTATAAGCTTCAGTATGAGTAGTAAACCCCGCAGTACTACTTCACCCAAGCACCTCGATCGACGTAAGTGACACCGGATTAAAAAACTGTGACTTACAAGTTGGAAGATAATCACATTAATCAGTAAATTATCCCACCACAAAAATTCCAACATTTTTCTTTACACAATTTGTAAATCATGTTTCTTTTTTCAGTCGGATTTGTGTAATTGAGCATCAAATGTCATTTTGTTAACTATTTATGTATGTTGTTGATTTCAATGTCTAATTTTTAAAACAGGCGGAAGTTAAATACACGGAGGATTTCAAAGATAAAATTTCCGATCCTGTTCGTTTATGGGTAGAAGATGGTAAGTTAATAAATTTTTCTGTATATATATATATAAATATGATTGACTGTCAGTATTTAAAAAAATACATTAGTACTGATATGTTTGCTTCTTAACTGAAGAGAATGTGGAATATATAGATCTATCTATATGATTGTCCAGTATACTAGGTCAGAAATTTCATTAAATCTATGTGAAAATTGAATACCATGAACTCTGTGAATTAAATTTCATAATGTTACGAAGCAGATAAACATTTCATTTTGATATACTTCAATTATTATCAGTTTACCTTAGTCGGGAAACGAGAGCAAGGATCTAGGATCCGGTGCCACAGCATGCTACTCTAATCCGAGTGTCGCAACCTCTATTGAGTGAAAGAAGGAGATTTGATATGAAGTAGAACATGTATTCTACAAGCATCCGGAAAGAACGAGTTCCAAGTCCAGAAGACGATTAGGATCCTGGACTAGGGATTCGGGTACGAGTCCTGGTCATAAAACGTTGCACGTAATGCGTATTTATACAGTTAGATAGAATAGGAACCGAAATTGAAGTCGACCATAATATCGAACAGTAGGAATTGACCAATAGAACTAGACTTACAAATCATTCTCTTAGGATATTGGACGAATGTGCTAACACATAATGATGACTTGTCAGTAACTAATTATCAAATATGTACTTGATCTTCCGTGCTGCATGATAAAATAATATACTTTATGTAATAAATTAAAATATTTTACAGATATTATCAATTGTAAGAACTTGTAGTTCGTTGTTTTCAATATTTTAGAATTGAAAATATAGTCAATCATAGACTCATAGACTCTTTGAATGAATCCCTTGATGTTGTCTGAAGTTTAAAGACGCTAGCAATATATCGTTCTGCTTAGTATTCATCATACATACAGTTGAAGTTTCTTCAAGAATAAGATATTCGTAGTTAGTGTCTTTTTTATATTTTTAAATCGTTGAATTATTCTCGTCCGCTGAGCTTTAGCCAACGAACTAACATCTACTTAACCTTACTTAGATGATTTTCAGCTTAATACTAATAAAATATACTGATACTTTCTTCTAAATGAATTAAATTATTTCTAATAACTATTTACTCGTCAAATCATACAATCGAGCAACTAAATTGGATGTTAGTGACTTAATGTTGGATTGTTCAATTACGATGTCAGGATTAGTTTAGACATAATAATCAATGAAATGTATATCTTTTTAGAAAAATAAGATTAGCTTTTAAATATTTCCTAGTTGTGTAGGCAGTGAAAAATACTGTGAACACCTACACTATGAGATGAATTATTTCGAATCTACAAAATTAAGTAAATAATAATGTACATTGGTCAGTCAATGAAAACGATTTACAGATCAGCTAGACACTTTTGACTGTGTTATGCCCTCTTCCTAATTATGAAGCCTTTATCGATCGTTTTATAAAAGGTCAACGGCGCTTTTTCCATGTAAATGGGAAACAACTGAATAACTTACTTTTCCATAATGATGTTATCCAGTGCGACAACGTCAGTCAATCAGATGCGACGTAGAACTTCGTACGTAAGTACATCAGTTCATGTCGCCATACCACATCAGCACAGAGATATAATTGTCAATTCAAATCCAATAGTAGAAGAGGTAGTAAAGGTATCAGAAGTAATCGGAGAGGTTAGGATTAGAAATATTATTCAAGAAGTATGATTCAGTGAGATAAGTTAAGAAAGTCTAAACTAGAGGTGTTGAAGAATCCAGAAGATTAGGATTTGAGAGAACACAAAGAATAAATGCACTGGCGCCATTGCGAACGATTTTGAGCCATGTCATTCAAGGTCTCTAGCCATCGATTATTATCATCTCGCGGACCCCAACCAGGTAGTCGACAATTACCGACATGGCTAAGTCCACTCGTCAATGACTTCACGGATTTCTGCGATGTTTTGGTCTGGCCGCACCTAACTTTCTTCCAACCTATTCCTACACTACAAAACAAGGCTCGACGAGGCAGTCGGTGGTTGGGCATACGCAACACATGTCCCAACCACTTCAACTGATGAAGTTTCACCACTTCATCTATTGATCTGCCATTCTTACCTAGCACCCGATTCCTAATAACAGCGTCACTCACTCGGGTGTCCCACGATATACGAGCAATGCTTCGAATATATCTATGATCGAAAACAAGTAAACTACGAATATCTTCTATCACTGGCAATGTTTCACAGCCATAAGGTAGCACGGAGCGAACTGCTGCACAGTACACTCGTCCTTTAGTCAGCAAACGGATATCTCGCCTACGCCATAAATGACGCAGGTTGGCAAAAGCCAATCGAGCCGTCCGACAATATAAGCTCCCACAACAAAACTCTAGCTCAGAGAACATAACGCTAACATACTAAAGTACAAAACACAGCATATTTAATTGAACAATTATCTATCTTCTTTTCATTTCATATTATTCTAGAAGTACATGTACAAACGGAAGAAGTATTTATATCACCAGGTGAACGTGTAGTGATTAATTGTACTGGATCTGTTGGACCAAATGATGCATCACAAAAAAGTTTAGAATGGAAATTACTTGATGGTAATCGTTTGCCCGATGGTAGTCGTTCATTAAAAACTCAAGATGCACAATCTGGACCATTATGGTATGCTATGGAATCGTTAATATTTGATCCTGTCAATAAACAACATAGCGGTGCTTATGCTTGTTTCATAAGACCATCAATATCGGAGTTAATGAATAAAGAAACTGTATTACATAAAGTTACAGTAACTGTTAGTGGTACGTGTTATATAATAATAATTAATATTATTATATTTCTAAAATAAGTAAACTATAATCGTTTGGAACTAAATTTCAGTCAGTTATGATTTCATGTAGGAATTGATATATGAAACTGTATGAATGTTAATTCGAGTTATTAAAAGTGTTGATAAACATTAGAAGAGAAGATGATAAAAAGAATAAATCATCAAATCAAAGAATGACCAGTTTTTAATTGATATTCACCTAAAATTATAATATCAAATAAAAAAAAGATGTCTGTAATTATTTCTATTGTGGCCTAGTTGAATCAACAACCATTTATTCTCTTCCATTGTTAAGTTGTGCTCTCCAAACTGAACTTTAAGTATCAAGTGTACCTCATTTGATAAGACATATGGGGGAATAGTGAATGAGTTCTTTCATATACTAATGTCATTCCTAACCTTTATACAACATACGTCTATACTAACCAAACATAAAGCATGAGGGTATGATTGAGACTCGAACCTACTTTTTTTCAGTTGAGACACAACTTTTTTTAAGCTATAAACCAACAAGAAATCGATATTCATCGTGATTATACAAGTGAGGGTATTATAAAACCATGCAGACTGATTCACGATGTCATATTTCTGAAAACGAGAGCTCCAAACAAATAATCAGTTTAAAGTAATTTAACAAAACGGTTTTTATTTACTGCAGCATGTTGTATATTTCATTTTGATTGTTGACAAAATCAATGGATTTTATGTGGATCCATCAGTCACTTAGCTTATTGAACGGAGCATGTCATACTACTGATCAATAAGAACAGGTAATAAACTAATGCTGCGTAGTAATAAACTTCTATAAGAACAGACATTATGTCGGGAATTTATTGTTTGTCTTTTGATATATCAATTTTGATATAATACGACTGATTACCTGCTAGTTATTAACTTCTAGATGCAATTTCTGGAGTTCTAGTGGGAAGCCCTGATCATTGAACTTCAGTCATGCTGAGCGTGAGACACTGATCCACCTCAGGCAAAGGATAAGTATTTCACAATGTTTATGGATTGACTGAAGTTAGAGATTAACACCGTTCGGATGTCGACTCAATAGTCTAAAGATTAAACGTTCGCTCATGGTCGAAGATGATAGATCCAGTTTCAGGGTAAAGGATCGTAGATGCGCACTGTTGAAGTGTCCTGCGCCAAGATTTTCATTAGTGGTCTAAGTTTATTATTTAAAAACTAGGAAAATTCACATACGTCCATGAAACCCCATATTGATAAGCTTATAATTTTTGTTAGTAGCGTAATTAATGCTATCTTAATCTATTCAGTTCAACCGTACTACCAAGCAGACCAATGGTAACCAACTATTTACAAAACTATGGATACGTACCGCTGAAACATTGCGTACTGGAATGGTTAGGCTTATAAAATGCTACATTCGATCAAAATTTATTCATTGATAAATGCATACTTTAATGAGTCAACATTTTCACATTTTTATCATCACCAAATGCATCTATAATGTTTCTTCTTTTTCTTTTTCCCCCTTCTAAATTTCCTTGCCTAAATTAGATTTAGAACTTGATATGAATTCGAAAATTGTTGATTTAAACGAGAAACTTATTATCACATGTCGTACAGCTAGTCCTGGTCAATTAGATTGGTTGTTACCATCTGGTGAGAAAATTGAAATCATGACTGAAATGAAATCAGACGATGATACTGATGACAACAGTGATCAACCATACGCTGTGAAAGATGACAATGATCAAATGAAATTATCAATGAAATTAATTATACCAAAAGTGAATTTGAATAAAGTTGGTATTTATACATGTTTACATTCACCTTCAAATAATAAACAAACATTTAATTTGAAATTGAAAGAAGGTATATGCTTTTTTTAAAACATATAATTCATTTCCATTTTATTCGATAACTAAAATTCTAATCTATCAAACTGAAATGTGTCCAGCTAGTTTGTCTAAGTGATTGAGTATTGGTTTGAACTATCGGATAGTATTGTAGTGAACGAGAACACAGGTGGGGCAACCTGATTGTATTTAACGAAAATTACAGGGTAACTCAGTAAAATCGGAAAACCATATCGTAAATCGTTAATTTGCAAAATATCAGTCCATTGTCACTATTCATGCGTTTCATACAAATACTATTGTTTTCTAACTCTTCCACTATCTTCTGCTGCCAGACATTACGTTGCCACTCACGTCATATACTACTTATAAGTAGCTCGCACCATACTCGTCCCACCTTTTAATAAGCTATCGTCACTTTCAAAACAGGGACCCTGCTCAGTTAATATCACCTTCCGTATTCCCTGACGCGCTACAATATGCCAGATTACCACTTCGGTCATTGTTCTTGCCCACTGGTCTGGAATGGATACGGCATCTATCAAACGTGTAGCGTTTACTAGTTCCCGCTGCTGGGACACGGTGGCAGGCACACTCTCGAAAAATTGCAATGCCAACAACTGTGCCCCCGACTCCCCATCCATACTCGGTAGCGCACAGCGCAGAAACATCGTGAGCTCCAAAGCCAGCGCCAACGGGTCACCATCAGCCGACAGCCTCGCCAACCGGAACCTCTGCGCCGCCTCCTCCCTGTCCACCGGGCTGTCGAACTCCGTCATCAGCCGCCCGGTGACCGTCTTCCCGGCGGCATCGTCCAGGCTGTTGTATACCGCCTTCGCCTCACCTCCCCGCAGCGTCCCCAGCACCGCCAACTCCGCCCCGGGCCCGTTCACACCCACCAGCCCCACCGCGGCCTCAAACTCCTCCAGGAAGCTCCGCAAATCTCCGTCCTCCAACTCCTTCGGCCACGGGAGCTCCTTCCTTCGAGCAGGCAGCGACACCAAATGTAGTGAACGAGAACACAGGTGGGGCACCTGGATTATCATCACAGTATCATTAGTCTTCAGATTGTGAATGTTACTCATAATTCCCACCTTATTTGGTGAATGAATGAATCAAATCTTCCTGGTGCACTATTGAAAATCTGGAAGAATTGGACAGTCATATCGTCGAATGATTGAAGTTGAATTGAATGTGCATAGTCTGCTTCTATAATGTTTTATTAGATTTCAAACATCATGTGTGAAATTCTCGTTTATGACTGTATTGCCTTTTACTAGTCAGGGTTCATCCTTTTCTCCTTGTATCTTATTGGTTGAGTTAATCATCGACAAACTGACTGAAACCATGAATCGATCAATGTTAGACCACCATTAGAAACCTGGAGGCACTGGACGGCCGTTTCGTCCTGGTATGGGACTCTTCAGCAGTGCGCATCCACGACTCCCGCACCCCGCAGGATTCGAACCCAGGACCTTCGCGGTTGTGCGAGAACGCCTAACGATCGGACCACTGAGCCGGTATCTAACGGTGTTAATGTCTAACTTGATCAATTCACGGAGTTGCCCAACCTCAATAACAGCGCCCTGCTGATGAGTCCCATAACAGAATGGAACGGCCGTCCAGTGCTTCCAGGTTTCTAATGGTGGTCTAACATTGATCGATTCATGGTTTCAAAAATGTGTAACTTAACAATCTTCACAACCCCATAATGCAAATTGACTGAACTCTTATTGGTTGGAACATATTTCACATAGAAAGCCATTTTGAACCCGTCAATTTTTCTTTACGTTGGGCAGTGTTACGAAAGATTGTTGTTGTTGATGTATTATCACCTTGAATGTTAAAGCTTAAATTTAATCAACTGTAGAAACAAATTTATATTATTTTTATACAATGGATATCAATATTGATGAGTATTAACGACAGTCTTCTGGTGCGTTATTCAGGTAAATTCACCTGTTGTTCCAGAGAATCTAACATGCCGTTTATTCAAATCATACATTTGTGATTCCTAATTGAAATTCAATCATTTCTAGGTGAAAGCAAACTATACTATCTATTTAACTAACCGACCAGATTTCAATTAATCACTTACCAATAATGTTCATCAATTGTCATAATGAGATGGTTGAAATTAGTTAACTGATATGATTGGATAAAGTGAAATATTTTCATTTACACCACTACATACTACTACTATAGTACAACTGATAACCGAGCTTATACTACTACTACTACTACTAAAACTACTCAACTGATATACTACACACAGAATAGATCATTCTATACTAGTTGTACGATTAACAACAAAAAATAAAAAATTCAGATGGTATATGCCAGACAATACTTTATCTAAAACAATTACAACCAGTCTACTTATTAGTGTGTCCAAAGTAGAAATCAGGAAAGGTAGTCTCAAATTCAGGTATTCAGTCTATCTGTCTACGCCTAGTGGGCAATCAAATCTTACTTTCACTAGCCATAAAATTATGGTTGGCATATCGACTGTGAACATGTGATTTATTGATTTAGCAAAGATCTATTTCCTACAGTGTATACTGTATCTTTGCCTAAGGAAAGTTTGTACTTTGTTTTATATCTATTTATCCATGTTTAGTGATTAGAAGTAATTGACAAAAATCGCTGGGCTTTGACTCTATGCCAGGGTAGACACTTGCCAGAGAAGCGTATCTTCAACCCTAACTGAACTGATTTATTCGGCAGGATTGGAATCTACAATTTTTAAAACTGAAACAGAACGGTAGAAATTCCTTCTAACATATCATGCAATTAAGAAATGTATATTAATGTTTACGTTTCAAAAAATCCACTAATAAATGTATCCAAGTTGAAGTGAGACAGTTAGATTGGGAACAGTTAAACAGCATAAACACATAGTAAACAGGTTAACTAAATATAAATTTAATCTATTAGAAGCATAAATATATTTAAAAAGTAAATTATTTTAATTCTAATTAGAAATTAAGTTGAAGCGCAATTTTTCCAGTAAACACTTAAACAAAGGTTAATATGATATATGGATTCTATCCTCTTTAAAAAAAGTAAGGGATGAAACGGTCGTTGATGTCTCGAAAAATCAAAATCCTTCAGCCGGTTCAAATAATTTTCCCAACTTGAAATGGTTTGCTGGAATCGTGAAAAGTACATGATTTTCGGAAATTCAGTTTACACAATGAAATACACAATTTGTGCTTATATCAGTACAGTCGATAAATGTATACATTCCAAAATTTAAATCCTCCTTGAAATCTCCATAGCGCTCACTTAAAAAAGCACTTCATGAATTTCCCTAGAGTTAATAAGTGCTTTCTTCAACCAACAACTTTGGTAGTTTGGTTCCTGTTTATACATACCCCTTTGTTGACCAATAGATGTAGCCTTCAACATTTTTTCTACTTACTTCCTTTTTTTCGCAGGTATTAATCTTGTCAAATCCGCTGATAGTTCAGATGAACCTGGAAAATATCTTATTCTTCAATGTACTGCAAATTTAGGCAATGCAAATCAATTAGTTACTTGGTATAAACGATCAAATACAAATTCACAATGGTTAGAAATCACTCAACCGGTACAAAACATTGAACATATAACTATTGAACATAAAAATCCTGACGATACATCATCATCAGGTGTTTGGTTATCCGAATTAAAAGTGATCAATTCACCTGGAAGTGTTGGTGAATTTATGTGTGCAATACAAAATCCCCAGTCAGCAATGAACATTGAACAAATAGGAACTGCTAGAAGTATAATGATGACCAATGATAATGATTTTTCGAAAATTACACATGAAGTTATTCAAATCTCATTGAAACCTGGTAAGTTTTAGATAATAAAAATAATTAATCTATTGGATAATTCGTAATGGTTTGTTTTTTCCCCAGGTATATTGTTATCAAACATTGAAATTTATCGAAGTCAGTTACCACATATACATTCTAAGCGGATCGGTACTGTTTTATCATTTAGTAGTCACATGTTAGTTTACTTATATCTGTCAATGAAATCTGAAACACATCTTCGTTCCATTTAATACTGACGTATTTTGATATACTTCAATTCCTGTGTTCATATCTACACTTAGAATTTGAACCTGGAATGTTTCATTTCAAGCACTAATGTGTTATCAATTAAGCTGCTGAATTCTTGCTCTTTTTTTAATTTATTTCACTAAATTGTACTTCTTGGATGATATCTTTGAACCCTAATCTTCTCCATTACCGCTAACACTTATACTATCTCTACTACTATGGGATTTGAATTGACAATTCAATTTGTGTGTGTTACTGTGATAAAGCAACTTGAACTGATGTATTTATGTACAAAGTTCTGCGTTGTAACTGAATGACTGACTGACTAGTGAATTCAATTAACTTTGAACATGTTCAGCATGTCTAATGTTTTATTCTTTAAGATTAAACTTTCTCTGTTGTTTATAGTGAGAGCTGTAATTGGTCAACTAGTAGCATTTTATATCATCAATGAATATTGACACAATCAAAAATTATTAGTGACAAAACAGATTAAACCCGCTTAATGTAAACTTAAAAGTCAAAGATTACTAGACTAATGTTTCGTCCTGGCATTGAACTTTATAACGCTAAGAACTTAGGACATTTATACCTTTTAACAAGCACTTATTCATTATAGTACCATTAAATTTCAATCTTATAATCTAATTCACGATATAAAACTACGATCATCCAATGTCATTGGTGACAAATGTTTCATTTGTGACATGGCTGTACTCTACCAGTCACTACAACTTCATGAATTCACCTTAAACTAAATTAATAGCAATCTCATAATTATAGTAATGCAGATTATTTCAATTCGTAGATGGTATTCATCAGGTATTGATCTCAGTGAGCTAGTAAACCACTTACTTGATTTAGTTTTATAATAATCAAACTGTCGAATCGATCTCTGATAGTAGAAGAGTACCATTAACAATAAGCTCAGCCTGATAAATGAAATACTATTTACAATGAGAAGTAGTATCGTATGTTTTCTCAAAGTTAATCTAACATATTTCAGTCTGCTTATAAAACTTATTAAGTTGAAGATTTTTACAGCCTTATTCAATTGTAGAACTGTAGAACTGAAGCATTTTCTAAAGCCGTATAATTGGTAACTGGAACAATTATCTTTCAATAAACTCTTTATATTTTAATAACTACCTTAACTGTAGCTCATTTCGTCACTACCTAGTTAGTGTAACATTAAAAAAAACTTGCCTTGAAAGTCAAACTACCTATGACAGCCAAAATCAAACGCAGAGCTGTCGGTTCCGATCCTTATACTGTTAGATATGCAAGTGAAAAGTGTGGTGGAATGTAATAAATGACTTAGATTGTTGCAAAATAGTCTATCATCCTTGTCATTAATGTAGAAGCACTCTGTAGGCCGCTTTCTGTTAATCGGTGCTCTTTAGCAAAATATTTAAAAAATTAAGGAAGGGGTGCTACCGGTAAACCAACTGGGCCGCGGTTTTGAATTGCAAAACTGATATGGTCTTTCATCAGCACTAAATAAACAAGATATTGGTTGTTATTACTCGTTGTAAAATCATTGTGTATTTTAACTCTATTTTCAAGAAATTATTTTCTGCAGTTTTAATCACGAATTGAGATTAGTCCACTACCGAGAACCTGGAAGCATAGGATAACCATCTTGTTCTAATGAAGGACTTTTCAACAGTGCACACATACGACCCTACATCCGGTAGTTAAGCCCCAGGATTTTCGGTTTGGCGCGCGAACTCAATCTCGAAACCAATCCAATGACATCCATCGAACTTCCAGGTTATCAATGATCGTCTAGCTAAGATCTGTTCGTCTTTTAAACTATACAAAACCCACATCTATGAATAATTACTTTTTCATTGCTAATATAAATAAAATATTTCAAATTATAGCTTTGAAAATACTTACTCCAACTAAATTGGCAAATGGTCAAATTAATGTACATTGTCAAGGCTATCCAGCACATTCTAAAGATCGTTTACAATGGATTTACATTTTAACGGATGCAAATAATAATGATAATCCAAATAAAATTATTCCTATTATACATTCAAATCCAAAAGATGAAGAAAATGAACAAGAAACTGAAGAAACTAGTACAAAATCATTAGATGAGAAAGTTAGTGCCATAATGCTTTCCTATAGGATTAATTTATCAAAGTGTTAATGTGTTTTTGATCTATAATAGAAATTAATTTGTTTATTATTTTGGGAGCCTATGAGATCATACCGTTATGATGAGAGGAGCAACTGTATGACCCAGCCCGAATATTGATTTATTTTGCCTTATCCCTTCTAGGACAAATGTTCTAATTTATCAGTGACCAATAAACAACAGCCAAACGCTTTACGTCTTTAGTGTCCCTAGATCTGATACCAGTTTATACGAAAAATCGAGTATACTGTATGTCATAGTTAGGCCAACCTCGTTTGTGCAACAGTGGTAATAGAGAACCCATTGCAAATTCAGTTGGATGAATTTATTTCAGGGAAATTGTTCGTGCACAAAGACACGAGAACTAATTGCTTACAAGCAAAGAGAATCCAAGTAGAAAAGGCGAGTGTGCCAACTGAATGCACATACACACCCGAATAAAATCGCTCAAGATATAAGCGAATGATTGGCAAGGTCGAAAGATGTAGGAATATTAACTGGAGCAGAAAAGGTTAATTAGTTTGTCCGAATGTTAGAACAAGCCATGTGGGGTTGTAGTGTAATACTCACTACATATCTATCGGTGCTCCAGTTACTTTCAGTAAAACAAAAGATGGAAACGATCAACCAACAATTGTGGAAGTTGTGCTAGAATTTTTACCAAAAAAATTACAAATAACCTCCTACAAGAGATCATGTTTGTACAAGATTTTGTATTTCGATTCATTTAGCCGGTGATGTAATAGTAAGATCACCCGAAGAACGTTGGACTGATGAGAATAAGTATCTTACGAAATTGTAGTTAGCAAACAACATATGGAGAAGTATTAAGCTTAGAATTATTTGAAAAAATAATATAACTATTCACTAATAATAATAACAAATTCATATGCATAATTTTCAATACTTTTATGCATGAGATGCATAAGTTAGGCAAATGTAGAATAATGTAAAAATGGTTATCTTCTGTTACTGCCTTTCTACTTTATTCTTTCTGAATCGTTCAAAAGAAATGCTTGATTTCGAAGCTATTTAGACTCAATGTCTTTTTAAGTACACCAATAAACATTTCTCTACTATCAGATAAGCAGTGTCAATAAGGTTGATTAAAGTCTTTACGCTATACTTCTCTACTGCATTCTTTGTTGTAGGAAAATATTCCACAACTGAAATGTAACCGTTTTATTGTGCAATAGGGAAAAACTAGATAGCTGCAATCTTCAAGTCTTGTCAATATCTCAATCTAGATATCATCGAAATAGTTTGTTCACACTTTGATTTCTTCTTTAGCCTCATGACAGAATGACGCATAATTTCATTTACTACTTTCCGACATGATAAACTATGGTTTAAGACTTGAAAATTAAAACATTATATATAGTAAGCCTAAAAATCAGGCTTTTGATGTTCAACCCTATTAAAGTGTACCTTTATTAGACGTTGCCGATATATATATATATATATATATATATATATATATATATATATATATATATATTGTTTGACTCTAAGAAATCCCCTCACAGATTAATCTCAATTATGCTACCATTGGGAATCAGGCATCATTTTAAAGCTTTTTTATCCTAGTCAAAGACGTTTCATCACTGACCACCAAGTTCTAACCTCAATCTTTGTCGAATTTAACTATATACCCCTATTTTATATTTACACATTAGCAAATTGATGATATTATCAGTGTAGCATTTCAATTAACTGATAGTAGACCAGCTATTTGGCCAGGTTCAATTGGACCTCAACAACTTGTACAACCAATTGGTGATATGCAAACAAATAAACCAATTTACACTCCAGAACGTTTAAGTTTAACATTTGATAGTAAATATGCTGACAAAGTGTCCGACGGAGTTTTATCATGTCGTTACCTACGACCAAAAGGTATTCTCTCAATGGATACAGATGACTCAGCTGAATCATTGTCAAAAGTTAATCTACTGGAAATTAATGATGATGGTGATGGAGTATTAGAGAAGAGTGAAATTTCTATGAAAGAATTATTAGGTAAGTTTATGTATATTCTTATTCAGTGTACTGATAATTTGAAATAGTTTCTTTTCCTTATTTGAATGCCCATTGAAATTGTCCAAACATTTTTGTATTTTTTCTGATTGATGTTTAATACAGCAACTGATCAGTTTGTATTGTCATAAGCTCATCCTGTATGAATTGCCTTGACATTGTCGCCATTAAGTCACTAGCATTTTGATCTTGACAGAGATTGATGCTGGTTATTGGTGGAATCTAGTAAAAAAGCATCTTGTCTTATTTATAAGATGTCAACAACGTGAACTCTAGGAAGCCGGTATATCCAATTGGTCAATCTCAATTCCACTATACTAGCCGCCGTCCATTTCTACTTGAAAAAAGTGATTAAATTTTTAGTTCAAGATATTAATGTTTACCATTAGTAATAACATCAGGTTGATAATAATAATCTCAACGGAATGTCAATTCAATTATTTGACATGTGAAATCAGATTTAAGTCTGAACTCTCAACCCATTGGAAAATGTGAGTAATCTGTAGAACTGAAAGCTTTCCATATTTTTTCTTTTAAACAAATTAAACAGATTAACCGTGTCTTTTGTTCCCGCATACTAATTGTTCGTTTTAGGTCTGAGTGTATAACTTCTATCAATGATCTTAGTCTCAAGAGCAGCCAAGTGCATCCATTCGTTATGCTCTCTCAAATCCTAATCTTCTAGATTCGTCAGCACCTCTACCTTTGTCTTTCTAACCTGAATTATATTTCTTGAATAAAATCTCAAAACCCTAGTCTTCTTCATTACCATTAATACCTCTACTAACTTTATCAATATGGAATTTGATTTGACATTTGCGTCTCTGTGCTAATGTGGTATGGCAACCTGAACTTATGTACATACGTACGAAGTTCTACGTTGCAACTGACTGACTGACTGACTCATGAGCAGCTCTCCGTCGGCTATATGATCAATCAGTATTCAACTGCCTAAGCTCATATGTTACTGTCGATCAAATTATAAATCGTACTAGAAGTGACAGAAATGAAATGTAAACTCATGCAAGGGATAACCTCAATGGATTAGGATCATACAGTAACTTAATACAAATAAGCATAGAGACATATCATTCAAAAACATACTATACTTTAAGTAATTAATACTAAGATATAATGAGGAGAGAGTGTTGATGTAAAAAATTCTATCGCTTTGCATTATACTTTTAGAACAATCTACTCATAATTCTACTTACCGGAGGCAATTGTAATAATAGACACATAAGATTAAAAAACAACTTGATAATTATAAGAAATAAAGTAACCAGAAAAATGAGTTTCAGATTACCAAGAGATAAATTCAAGATTACTACGAATTGTTTTTACCTACACATACAAAAAAAGGCTTCAGTGTTGTGTCTTATTAGTTATGGCTTTTATAAATAGCCAACATTCTTTAGAGGAAACTTTCAAAATCCCTTTTTTCAAATCATATCCATAGATTACTTTAGTTATATGTTTTGAGGATACTTTTTTCCCCTTTTTCTACGGAACCCATTTATATATAGGTTCGATTATTCTACTCTAGGTATGTGTTAACACATTTGTGAATCAGTAAAAACAATGAGGTGGGTTATGATTGTTTAGGTGAGGGTGTGAACTCTTCGTGAAATGCAGAGTTTAGTTTTTTTTAATACCGATCAGTTTAACAGTATATTTACTTTGATATCATGAATAAATCATTGTTAGACCACCGTAAGAAACCTGCAAGCATTGGATGGCTGTTTCGTCCTAGTATGGGACTCACCAACCGTGCGCATCCACGACTCCTGCTGCTCGCAGGATTCGAACCCAGGACCTTCGATCTTGCGCGCGAACGCCTAACCTCAGAACCACTGATCCGGTATCCAACGGTGTTATTATCTAACTCTGATTGATCTAGGGATTTCGCGCAACCTCACCCATTTGTCTTCGGTAGTTACTGCCTACACTCGACAGGGTTGAAATGCACTGGTCACGCCTGTCAAGGTAAAACTACGCTTTCCCTGATACTCTAATGCAAATTAACAGTATGTTATATTTTTGCAAGAGTTATTTTTTACCGTAAGCCTCAAAGATATACGAAAATAATAAAATGATTCAAACCTATTTTTTTGAGAATCAGAATTAAAAAGGTGATTTCAATATAAACTGGCCTTTACACTGATCGATAACATATATCCCACTTAATACAGATGGTTCAGTAAATAGTTTTGTATCTTGCCATCTCCCATTTAGATTCATTAAAAATTGATCTTGATTAGTTCTTCCTATATAAACATCTTTACAGACACACATCTGCTAGACCACTACTAGAAAATTGGACACACTTGAAGAACGTTTCGTCCTAGTATGGGACTCATCAGCGGTGCACAGTGGTCTAACATTGATCGACTCGTGATTTCAATCACAGTCAACAATCTCCACAACCCTATAATGAAAATTATCATGTGCTCTTTGGTGCCTAACTTCTCTGAGTTCTCTTACGAAGAGGTAGCCAGTGGAGTTTAACTCTTTCGGATGTGAAGCAGTGCCTACCGAAGACAACGGATAAGGTTGCGCAAGACTGTGTATTGATCATAGTTAGACCTTAACACCATTGGATGCCAGTACGCTGATCTGGAGGTTAAGCGTTCTTACGCAAGACCGAGGGCTTAGAATTCGATGTGGATGCTTACCGCTGATGAGTCGCATACCAGGACGGATTAACTTGCTCGAAATACACATAGGACATTTTTCATATAAACTACATCTTCTCAGTATGTAATTGGAATTTTTCAGTTTATTTATGGTGGCACAGTGTCGTAATATAATTAAAGTTAGACTCTCAGATGTGATGTCGTGGATGTGCACTACTGAGCTGTCCCGTACTAGGACGATATATCTGTCTAGTGCATCCAGGCTTTTAATGGCCAATGCACTAAGATCAATGCATGATCTCAATAAAATTTTACATCGGTTTATCAATAATAATTATCATAATAATTATGCATGCCAATTATGTCTACTCATTTCGTTCATAATTTTTCTACTTACAGATGCAAAAGAAGTTGATGATGTTGATGATGCTGATGTTGATGAGAATGCATCGATATTGAAAAATTCACCGATTGACGAAACAAACGATTTACAATCGGATGAAACAAGAAATAATTCAGTGAAAAAGTCATACTCAATGTTACTACTAATCTACACAAATCTTATTACTTTATTGTGTATTTTTATGCGAAATTAACAACAATCCAAGCAGAACAGAATTTTTGGACTAAATTTAATTGAAGCGCAAAAAATTCAAACGAATGAAATGCGGAAATGTTTGTTTGCTTGTTTTTCTTAAAAGTCAGAGTATACACAACAATTTGAATTATAATTATTATTATTATTATTGTCATTAGTAGTTTACTTGATCGAACCAATCTTTAAGTTTTGTTTGCTTTTTTCCTGTGTTGCTTTTGATTGATTATAGTGCCCAATGTGTGTAATGTTGCTATTTTGACTAAACTATATCTATTCTCAATCATCACCAGCAGTACACGCTTACTAACAGCCATTCATATACACACATACACAAGAGAATTTTATTTGAGAATGTAATTTAATTGAATAGATAGACAGATATAGATGGCGATAGGTGTCATTCTACACATGTTTATTTATTTAATTTGTCCTACCTGTTCAACAGAGATTATGCTATCCTAGCTGTTAGTTCAAATTGTATCATTATTGTTTCGATCTTTCTGTTTCTTCACTTGAAACTATCATATACATAGTGTGTGCGTGTGTGTGTGTGTGCTACTATGTCCATTGACTGATTTCCTCACTACGCCTATAGATAAGGATATAACTAACGAACTTGTCGTTCTTCATTATTATGCTGCAGGTTTTCATTGCAGTCATTTATTTTCCAGTTGACAGCAATTTGCATTATTATAGTAGTAGTAGTCGTGATTCCCCCCCCCTCTTTTTTCTTTCTTTCTTTCGATAAATACGTTTATTTATTGAATTAATTAATAATTCATTGAATTATTTTTTTCAGTGTTATTGATTGATTGATTGATTGATTCGTTCGTTCATTCACTCACTGACTTAATTCGTACTCGATTAGATCAGCTTAAAAAACAATGAAACCAATTAGCATTTGTGTGTGTGTGTGTGTCATGAGCACAACATCCTTCTTATTAGATAGATAGATAGAGAGATAGATAGATAGATCAGTAAAGTAAACATATATATAAGCTTCATCAGTGTTATTCCTATTTTATATTTTTTGATCCTAATGCCATCATTGTGGCTTGCTAATTACATTGTACGTCTTCTTTACTTTTTATGTTGCTCGAAATTTCTCATGTTTTGCTTGGTGTGTAAGTCAAATCACTAAGTGAAAAGAACGTAACTGATTAAAATATCAAATGGTGATTACTCTTCTCCATTTTATGATTATTATTATTATTATTATTATTATTATTCGTAGCAATTGTTAAACATAGCTTTCAATGTTGTCCCCCTTTATCAAGCTTTTCTTCTTTACTCACTCACTCACTCACTCTCTTCTTGTTTCATTCGGAGTTTGAAATGAAACACATGGAATAAACATTCGTATAAGTATTTGTATGCCAGAGCTTATATTACACTACTACTATTTATAATTCACAATTACGTCATATTTTGCTTGCTTTGTCATATTTTTAAATGTCGGAAGATAAAAGAAACATCATACAAAAGAAAGACAATATGAATTGATTCTCTATTCTTGTTTTCGTTTGTTTCTGGCTTTTTTGTTTTGTTTTTTCTTCGTGTTTTAGTGGATGATTTTTGTTGTGATTTAAATCAACCAACGACGGATGATGCATTATTAAATCATGTTATTAATTATTTTTGATGTAAATATATTCAGAGACACAGATACTCTGTTTTTTGGAATAATTATTTTTACCTACTGAAATTTTAAATAAGTAGTACAACTGAAAACATAAATCTATGTGCTTGAAAAGTAAGGCTCAAAAGTCGCGTTTCTAGCATAACAATTAAAGTTAATTATTCGCATAAATAAGATGAAGAATGAGTTATTGTGCTATGTTTCCTCAAACTTCGAGTCAAACAGAACATAAAGTTTTCAATATTTTGTTTGACTTTATTACCTGATTTGTTAAATTAATCTTAGAGCTGGATCCTACTTCAATCACATCCTGTTTGTAGCATTGAGATCGTCTAGACTTGAATCTATTTTCTAACAATTTTATAGTTGTATTACCAATTAACGTCAAAATATGAACAAATCAGTCAAAGGAAAATGAAGATAATCCAATAAAAATCTCTCCGACGGTTTCATTTAATTAAGCTGTATGAGTAGTATATTTACTAAAATACTAGTCTGAAATAAGATAGAATAATTTTTAAAAATCTAAAGTCGTATTATCTCATGAATTGTTTACTAACATCAACGGCTGATGAAATGTGTCAAGGTGAAAATAATTATCAACTCGATGGATTGTAAGGACAAAACAATTTAAAGATTTTAACCAATTCGGTCTTGTGTGCTGTTACGGGTATGAGGGCGGTTGTCGATTCCCGGCTGCCCACACCGTGGAAGGTTGTTTCTTGAGGAACCTGAAAAGGAAGGTAGATTAGTTTCGGTCTTAACGACCTGGGAGCGTGACCGCAGAGCCCAGGGGACAACTGCTTCAGGCCGGTCACGCACGGCCTTTTTATGAAAGGTTTTTTGAGTATTAGCTCCGCTCTTAAAAGACCTTATTAGGCACCCTTACCACCGGAGACGGAGGTATGGTGAGGTGTTACATTTCTAGGGTCGACCTTTTCTAACACTTCCTTCCTTGTGAGAAGGCAGCATCGCTGCAGATGCTGGTTATCCGAGGGAAACACCTTACTGCTGTCACACCCTTCTGCAGTCAGCAGTACAACTTCGCCCTCAGACCTGGAGTAGTTGCTTATAGTTTCATCGTTCTCCAATCGACCTGCCCGGCATGGTATAACCTTCAGGAACATATGTTTCAGCCAATATAGCTCGGTTGGGTCATGACGATAGGCAAGCCCGACCACCACGTCAAGGTAGCAGCTACGGCCGGGATTTAAAGATTTAATAACAACTGATCAGTAGTTGTGGGAAATAATTGGAATGTAGAAGAAAAACATGAACGGTCATGGAAGATAGAAAGAGGGGTTAAACTTATGAAAAATTGAGGACTGCTTTTTAAACGCTGAGGTACGTATTGGTACTAGTGGTCAGCTAAATCCCCTATTCTACGTAAGCTTACTTACAAACTGATTCTTCTGACTGTAAAGATGATTTCGAAATAGGATTGTAATGTAGTAGCAGAGTGACCAAAACTAAATTGATGTTCGAGGAATTTGCACTAGACTAACTTTTTTTGTTCACAGATAGCCGTGCAGCAGATGAGCTTCGAAAGCGCTTCCTTTGCTTATCCAGTATAATCTGTTTTCTTTTTGATATCTATATGCCTTAGGCACGTTTTTAGTCGTTTTTTAAAATGATCTAAATGAAACTAATGAGATATTTGTGAAACTATGTACATAATCAACTTAGTTAATCATAACCATAAGGATAGATTAAACAACATGACATGTGGATAGCTTATTTTAACATGACCAAAACATTATCAGTATGGGTTTGTGAAGATAGTTGAATTCAATTGAAATACATTCCTGACGAGTTCTCAATGGTGGTAGATCAGCTCATGGTTTCAATGAAATAGCTAACACAAAAGTTATTAGCTCATATCTCATTTCCATAGTGTTTTTTAAGAAAAAACAAATGTAATGCAGTATCCCAAAAATCAATCCCTATACATGGCAGTGAGTGACATTTTATTTATGAAGTATGAAGTAGTAGTCAGACTACATGAAACTATTGGAACAATCAGGTTTCACGTTGGGATGTCAAGATTACGAGGCATATTTGAAACGAAGATTCTCTCTTTAGACGGTCTAGTTGTTACTTTAATGTGAATATTATTATGATTCAGCATTGGAATGTCCAGGGATTAGCGACTCAAAATTTCTATTGTTTTTGATGATGGGATCATTCGAATTCTAAAGGTAAGGTAGTTTCGAGACGTAATGTATCTTGGCAAAAGGTTTTGAATTTATATCTACCACTTCGAGTTGTAATGGAGAGTATAGAAATTTTTGAAATTGTTACTACTGATAGAAAGTATAATTATAGGAAAAGTATTTAATAGATTTTCGGGATTTAGGACAGAACTCTACAATGAGGCACTTTCATTCCGTTTGAAATCACATGATTTAAACCTTAATAATTATCAACAGAAAGTATGTCTGGTCAGGAACGATGACCTACTATGAAGGTTAAAGAGCTTACAGGTTATAAAAATTGAGTTTTACATTTATTTACTACCTCGTTAATCCTACAACAGGAGTTCAAAACTGATAAAACTGAAGCCATTTGTTCATAACTAAAGGACTACCTACAACCTTATCATAAATCTTTAAGTGCTCTAGAGCCACAAAATTAACCTGTGATTTAAAAAAAAGCCACGTAGCTACTGATTCCAGATAGGCAGTCGGTCTATATTAATCTGTGCTAGAAAGACTATGTTGAAGCAGTTCGCATAAGATGCCAACCAAGACTAAATGAAGTAGAGTAAAAATATCAACAATGGGATAATTCAAACCCTTCCACTTTGAATTTGAACTCTGGTTAGTTATTAACTCGGTAAAAGTTTACAAAGTCACTGCTAGAGTCTCCTGAACTTGTCGAAATAATCAATATAGTCCTTCGAGATACTGGTGATAACTAACCATTTTAACCAAAATAAATGAAGTGGAGTTTGAACACGCAAATACAATCGTCAATCGGTCAAAGTTAGACCACCAGCAGAAACCTGGACGGTCGTTTGTCCTGGTATGGGACTCATCACCAGCGCGCATCCACGACTCCTGCACCACACAGTACTTGAACCCAGGACCTTACGTCTTGCGAGCGAACGCCTAACCTCTAGACCTTTGAGCAGATATCTAACGGTGTAAATGTCTAACTTTGATCAATTCACGGAGCTGCGCAACCTCATACACTGTCTTCGATAGTTACTGTCTACACCCGAACAGGTTGAACTTCACTGGTCAAGACTTCTCACTAGAACTCAGAGAAGATTCAAATGTGTAACTAACTTAACAGTGTTAACAACCCCGTAATGAAATATATATGTATATATATTTTTTCGTCTTGATAAAGTTCAAAGACTCAATAAGAACAAATACTTAATAAAACAAGAATCTGTTCAAAGCACAATGAAATTCTTAAAATAGAATAAACAGTAACATTTATCTTTTTGTTTTGTTATCGTTCTGAGCAGGTAAAGTTATATCGATAAACAAAAATAGAAATACGTTAGTAGTCCAAAATTCCAAGAAGAATAAACATTTTCTGTAAAGAAAAACCAATAGTAACAATAATGATAAATAGTTATTTTCTCTGAATATTGATTCTTGAAATGGACACCATATTTTAAAAAAATCTTACTCGCTGCTAATTAATAATAGTTAACCAACAATTAAAACAATAACAATGGACATTGAATTGATTTGTACTTTGTTCAACATCGTTCAGTGTGCTGATGATGATGATGAGTGAATGTTGAAGATTCATTTAAATAATGTTGTAATCTGGGCGTATGATCAATTTCACATGAATTTAATTGATCAAAACAAGAATTCCATTGAAACTGAGAAGTTACATCAACCTGTAGAAGATCAATGATAGATAAATACAAAACGAAAGCTGTTTAAAAGATATCTATCTATTTCGATGAAATTCTTGAATGGAAACAGTCATTATCTATGAGTAGAGTTTTAATAAAAGAAAGGATACAATTTTCTAATTAATTAGACAGATAAAAGAATGAATGCTTATTTGAAAAACCAATCGGACAGAGGCTTTCAAGGTTTTGAGCTAAATTCAAAAACCGACAATGGTAAGCTTTCATTCTATTGAAAGTTAATTAAAACATCCTAATAATTAGTCAGTAAAATAAGAAATTTAAAGCAAAGAGACTATGATTTATGAATTTTTAAAGATAAGTCAGAAACCAACTGTATAAATGTTCATTCATATCACTATGGAGCACTGTTCTATTTTATTCCTAAATACTACTTATAACTTAAATGCGCTGACTGCAATTCCTAATCTTGCTACTAACGCACAGCCCTTGATCTTAATCAAACCCCCAACACGATGCATTCATCCATTAAGCTGATAATTAACTATGAGACGCTTCATCTTCAGCAGCATTTTTGACTGAAATCCCTCGTACGTTCGGAAATTTCATCATTGTCCTAACGCAGGCAGGTGGATGCATTTCGGCTGATTAAATATAAAATATAATTCTATTCATGAAGTATACCTTATTGACAAGGATCGTGAGCATGAAACTCCTATGTCAACGACTTCTTGTCATCTGCTTCTTTAACCACCTCAAGTCCCTTGCATCTTCCATGCAATCATGAATTGGTCATTCTAGTACCCCATTGCATGAACTTGAATGACTGAATTTCGGTTGAGAATTAAGGTAAAGTTGAAAAAACTATTGATTACGACTCGATGGTTTCATTCGCATCAAAGATTATTTCGTGAGAGGAGGGAGAGAGAGAGAGAGAAGGAGCATAGAGTAAAACATATACCATCACTGATACAGTTTGTTCGGCTAGAAATGGAAATATTCTCTTGTCGGTTAATTCAATTAAAAAGTGTTGATCCGAACAAATCTTACACAATCTTACACAAATAGAAATAAGTGACTAATTCAAAAAAAAGAACAATATTCTCACAAACAACAATATCTACAGAAAAACAATAAATTAATTTAGTTTTATTAATAAGTTTAAATGTTTCAATTCTTTTCCGAAAGAAAAACATGAAATAAAACTGGAAATAAATCATTCATAATTAATGTTTCATAGCTAATCTATGCTTCAATTCTCATGATGATCATTAGTACATGTTTGTATGTATGTATGTATGTATGTATGCACTGTGTGTGTGTCTGTTCCACACCAGAATATTCAACACAACAATGACTTTCTTCACTCAATTTTTACAAAACTGTACATATGAGGGCGCTATTCACTCACATATACATACATGTGTGTATAGATCTACTTATATGTTTCCACATGTTCTGACATACAATTTGTAATAAATGCACATTTAATTTATTATTCTTTTGACATGACTGCAAAACATTGATCACAAATGCACTCAAGACTAGTCAATGTGTGTGTGTGCCTGATTAATCATTTGTCAAATAGAAAATATTAATTTGTAGGTGTTGTTACTCATGATGCATCTACTATATCAGCTGAGTGAAATGAATGAAAACTAAAAAACATTACTGAAGAGCTGATATCTGCCCTGTATTACAATAACTATTACGAAATAATTCTGCCTTGGAATCGAGCTCAACACTTTTGAAAATGAGTATTTAAGGTTTTTTTAGAGGAATTGATGACGACTAGATTCTAGTAGGGTCAGGAATGAATCAAATGTTGTATCAAAGATCTAACTGAAATCGGAAATGTTAACTAAACAGTTTCAAAATAGTCTAATGATAGTGTGCACAACGTGCGATTTGATTTTTATTTCCTGACTGGTTCACACTTCAATCTGTCTGAAGAGTATCGTATCAAGATTTGATTTCTGCTTATCACTCTACAAATGAAGTAAGGCTTTGAAGAATATCATCTATAAATCAAAATATCCACAGTAAACGCTTCAACAAACAACAATTTCGGTGACTTAATGTTTCGGTTAACTTCGGATAATTTCTTTATTGTTGTTCAGATGCTTTTTTATTCTCATGAACTGAATTATTTTTCAACCAAACTGCTTGAATTTTGATGGAATAGTAAATAATAAACAGTAAAGATGTAGTTCGATGTAGTTGTTAGTTAAAAATGGAGTTGATTAAGTTAGCTGTCTCGATAAGAAAAATTGACAATTAAGGAAATTGATAGATTATTGCATACACTAATTTAAATACCAAAGTGTTCATTTTAATATTAGGCGGTTAGATGTGTTCGGCATAAAACCTCAGACTTGGCTTTTATGCTAGCTGACACTTTTCAGTAAGGAATACCTACAATCCTGAGGAGGTTGATATTACTCGTGAAATTTTAAGCTGTCTGAAACACTACTATCTAACCAGTCGTGTTTTAACATACCTCTTTTTTTAATACACAAATATTTACAAATGATTGATAATTGTATGATTAGCAAAATATCACTTTCTCTATGTAGATGATATTGTAATTAAATACTATCAATCAAACTGAAACTGTGATCCCTATTATAAGTTATTCAGCATTATATGTTTGGATGTTAAGTAGTGAGTAGTTCCCTCAAGGAACTAACTTGTAACTTCTCCTGGAGCCTCTCTAGGTTTGCTGTCGGTCCCAAGCCCGGAAAAAGGAGGTTGGCGACCCCATCCCAGTTTAATTCTGTTCTGAGAATTAGAAAATCTGTATTTAGGAGAGTTTTGACGCCTCTGAATGAAACCCGAGTTCCTTCGGAAGTCACGAGGCTGATGCCAATTCTCAAAACCAAAGCAACCATTCTTTTAGGTACATGGAACGTTCGTAAATTGTAGGAGACTGGAAGACTATTTCAAGTTGCGGCACAAATGAAAAGATACAACCTGGAGGAGCTTGGAATCAGTGAGACGCATTGAACACAAGTTGAACAACTGAAACTAGCTTCAGGAGAGCTGCTGTTATACTCCGGCCATGAAGAAGAAAATGCTTCAAATACACAAAGAGTTGCGCTGATGCTGTCCAAACATGCACAAAAGGCACTGATAGGATGGGAATCTCATGAACCCAGGATCATTAAAGCAACCTTCAAAACAAAGAAAGAGGACATTACAATGAACGTCATCCAATGTTATGCACCTACCAACGACTACAATGACGACGTTAAAGATCAATTCTACGAAAGGCTGCAGTCAGTCTTCGAGAAATGTTCACCAAAGGATTTGACGATTCTTATGGGAGTCCTGAATGCCAAGGTTAGAATGGACAACACTGGATATGAAGACATCATGGGACGACATGGACTGGGAGAAAGGAACGAAAACGGTGAAAGATTTGCGAACCTATGTGCCTTCAACAAACTGGTCATAGGCGGCACCATATTCCCACACAAACGCATTCACAAAGCCACATGGATTTCATCAAACCACACTACTCAAAACCAAATTGACCATATCTGTATCAACAAAACATTCAGAAGGACTATGGAGGATGTGAGAACCAGGAGAGGAGCTGATATAGCATCAGATCACCACTTGCTGGTCGCCAAAATGAAACTGAAACTAAAGAAGCACTGGAAAATGGGGCGGACAATAGCACAAAAGTTTAGTACGGCCTTCCTTCGGGATACTGGAAAGCTGATCGACTGGATTATGAAGACGTCAGCATCTAAGGGGAAGCATGGGATACAGTGGACAGCCAGTATGCAGCTGGACAACCTGGACTTCGAAGATGATCTGGCTCTTCTATCTCACACGCAACAACAAATGCAAGAGAAGACGACCAGTGTAGCAGCAGGTCTCAACATACAAAAAGGGAAAAGCAAGATTCTCCGATACAACACAACATGCGCCAACCAAATCACTCTTGCTAGAGATGCCTTTGAGGACAAATCAGATCCCAGTGGACGGAGAAATCGGGAAGAAGCGGTGGACACACACTGCGGAAAGCGCTCAACTGAGTCACAAGACAAGCCATCACTTGGAAACCTCAAGGACAAAGGAAAAGATGAGGGCCAAGGAACGTACTACGCCGAGAAATAGGGACAGACATGAGAAGAATGAACTAAAATTGGACAGAAATGAAAAGGAAAGCCTAGGACAGAGTTGGTTGGAGAAAACTGGTCGGCGGCCTATACCCCCTTGGGGGGTAACAGGAGTAAGTAAGTAAGTACGATCTGCTAATAACAACTTTTGTTTCCTTCAATCAAATCGTCTATTTTGACATCAACCCAACAATATCATGAAATCATTCATTTAATCAGCAGTAATGATGAATGATAAGTTTCTTATATATATATAGGAAACGTTACATCATAAATTGATGTTAGCTGTAGTATTAGACAATTTGTCTTATCCTGGTGTATAATCATGACACACTTCTGAAAAATCTCAAACTACAGCAAATCAGCTATTCAACGCTTTCTGATTTCTAACTAAGAACGGTTTGCAATGTAACGAGTGAATTTCTACAATGTCCATAAATTCTTTGCATTAACATTATAGTATTAAATGTTTCAATTTCAGTAGTTGTTTAAGCGTGATAAAAATTAATAAATCAGCAGTAACTTACAGTAGACTGATGGGATGAAATATATGAACAGGGAAAATCATCAGTTATTTTTGTCAATTTACTAGATTGAATATCTGTCAAGTTCCTGTTGGACACATGTGTATTATTCTGAACACAATAAGCAGTTGGAGTGTCATCATATGACCCATAAATACTATATAAATCAGTATTGTTTTCTGTGTCATAATTTCGTGAATAATTTCCTTCTCCATGGAATATTCTTGATTTATCGACTTGATTTTCTGTGGGAATATTGGATTGATTGGAAAATGTCAGTGGTACGTCTTTGTTTAATTTACATTCTCCCACAATTGAATGTTTGTCTAACTGACTGATTTCGAAAATTGAATGTGACTTTGAGTGTTTTCGTAAAGAACTTGGATCTGTATAACGTTTGGTACAACCAAATATTTTACATGCATACGGTTTCTGTAAGCCAATCAATGAGCAAAGAAAGTAGTACTTACCTTCTCACTTATGTAATACAATGTTAATAAAAAAGCTTAATAATACAATTACTTTATAATAATAATAATAATAATAATAATAATAATAATAATAATAATAATAATAATAGTTCTGTATAATCTTCAGTTATTAAGGGAATGAAGATAGTCGATAGGCTTAATCCAGACTTAGAGTTTCCGTCAGATGATATTGATCTATGAAAGGTCTCTGCTATACTATAAGTTTCAATTCCTACATAAATCTTTATTTTCGTTAAAAGATTTCAGATACATCATAAACTAGTAGAAACAGCTAGCCAAGTAGGGTTCCTTGTCTACTACCTACAATCACTTATATGTTTAAACTTTATGCTTACGATATCAAGTGACTTACGGTTACAAATCCATCAGTATGGTTTGATTAGCATCGATTGATAGACTAGACAAATATAACTTTATTCACTATCAAGTAATCATTTAGTTGTAAATGTTTAGCTGATAAACTATTATGTAAAGGAATGCACTCTCTTTCTTTTTGTGGATATTCAAACTAACTTTGAAGACATGAAGACGTGACAAGTGGAGTTCAACCCTGTCAGGTTTAGGCAGTGACTATCGAAGACAAATGGGTGAGGTCGCGCAAAACCCCTAGATCAATCAGAGTAAGACATTAACACCGCTGGATGCCGGCCCAGTGGAACAGAGGTTAGGTGTTCGCGCACAATACCGAAGGTCCCAGGTTCGAATCCTACGAGGTGCAGGAGTTGTGGATGTGCACTGCTGATGAGTCCCATATCGGGACGAAACGGCCCTCCAGTGCTTCCAGGTTTCTAATGGTGGTCTAACAATGATTGGTTGATGATTTCAAATGTGTAGTAACTTTGATCTTGTTCTTTAAAATATGCGATAAAATTCATAGATATCGCCTTCGACGTCAAAATGACTGAATCAAATTCACTCTTGAATATTAACGCTCATAAAGAGTAATAAATATCATAACGATTGAGGAGGTCATTGTCTAATGAACTATGTACTGACATCTGAACTAAAAGGTACTGGGTTAAACTACTAGTATGAACATGACTGAGACTTTTATACCTCCAAGTGACAAGTCCAGGTTTCTAATGGTGGTCTAACAATGATTGATTGGTGATTTCAAATGTGAAATAAACTTGATCTTGTTCTTTAAAATATGCGATAAAATTCATAAATATCTCATGTGACGTCAAAATGATTGAATCAAATTCACTCTTGAATATTAACGCTCATAAAGAGTAATAAATATCATAACGATTGAGGAGGTCATTGTCTAATGAACTATGTATTGACGTTTGAACTAAAAGGTACTGGGTTAAACTAGTAGTATGAACATGGCTAAGACTTTTATACCTCCAAGTGACAAGTCCAAAAGAGGACAACACGCACTTCCCGGCTTACACCAGTGATTACAACTCAGAAAAATAGAATATGAAAAATTTTACAAACATTCATTCAAACCAATGAAAAAAAGTAGTTTCTTTTCAGTAATATCAAAAGAATAACGCTCACAAGAACTTGTATCATAGAGCAAAAACGTAGGATAACATATCAAAATAAATAATAATGTTTTCTGATGATATGAAATCAATCTTAAAGTCGTGGATATTGAACAATTTTGAATTCGACGTTGTACGCCACAGTTTACATCATTTATGAAATTATACAGTTGTTGTGGTGTTTCGTTCTCTGAGCTAGAGGTTTTAGTTATGAAGCCTTCATTGTTCCTCTGAACAACATCATCAGCACAATCTTTGGAATTCTGTCCAGCTCAGAGAACGAAACACCACAACCATCATCTATCTACCTGATCTACAAATTTTCTCCCCCATCATCAGATCAGACTATGCGTGGCGGATAGTACTCTAAACAAAATTTGAAACAGGCAAATCATTTAATGGGCTTTGCTATCTTGAATTGATTTCCTGTAGAAATCAGTTATCAGCTGAATAATTCCATCAAGAAATGTAGGCTTAAAACATCTTATTGATTATTTTCGAATATACCGGTATATTAGGTCGGCCAGCTTGATGACCATGCTTGAGTCATTCGATGATACCAAGGACTAAGCAATATGTTACTAATTGGTAAGAAATAATAAATTAATGTCGTTACAATCAGTCAGCTGATGTAAAACAAAACCGTGGTATAATACTATTAAAAAAAAAAATATTTATGATCTAATTTTTCATTAGTTACATTCATTCTTTCGTTCATTCATTCATCATAAAGTCTTAAAAAAGTCATTCGCATAAAACTGACTGTTAAACATGATTTCTTCATTTTTTTTTTCAAAAAATCATGGAACAAATGTAACATTTCTGTTCATTTACAACATAAACTTTCATGATAAACAAATTTTTCTTTTGAAGTAGAATTCTATTTTTAACAATATTATTATTATTATTATTATTTCTATTAGTACAGTTCGATCAATGAGCACAATGCTTTGATTTACTCATTTATTTTCTGTCAATTGTTTACGTAATGATTACTTTAGTGAATTTAAAATAGTCTAATTATAAATTAGTCTGAATATAGAAAGTTTGTGGTGATTGTAGAATTTTCATAGATGAAGTCACTTATTGATTTTGTTTAGATAATCACTGAAAATCAACTTCAGCAGTGTGCATGTACGACATGGCTAATGAAGATCGAACTCGGGACATTGGAACCACTTTATGAGCGTTTCACATTTAGACCATTGAACTGGAATCCAATAAAATCAGATGTTCATCTTCAATAAATTCTCGATATGATATGAAAATATCCCAATTTCTTCAGTGAGCAACTACCTGACAAATTAGAACTTCACTGGTCATAGCTTTTCACCAAAATTCTCGTAGGATGTCAAGCCATTCTGGTGCTTAAACAAGGTTTCACTTATTTAGTTAGGCTATTTTGAGTTCATTGTAAATAAGTTGACATTTTTTTGCATGTGAACTTTCAGAGTATGAAGTGTATGATAATTAAATCTCTGAGAGTGAATAAATTTTTAAATTCAATTATCAATTAATAGTTGGACTTTTAAAGTTTACTGGTCAAGTGGAAAATGTTGATTTTTCCCAACAATTGCAGTTACTTGATAGTTTTAAGTTTCCATTTTTTTTCCCAGAATGTTTAATGAAATTAAAATACTTGTTGTGGCGAATTTAGCAAATCATCTTAAATTGTTTCCATAGAAAATACATTTTTGACAAAAAAATAAGCACATTTTGCTTTAATGACAATTAAAAACAATAAAACCATGATTTACTTAAAAAATTTTTTATATATTTTAGTCAAATGAATAACCCAACCTAATTAGATATCAAGTTGTTTATAGGTTTATCAGCAAATTTCCATGGATTGATCGAAGTTAGACACTAACTTCGTTAGTTAATAGCTCAGTGGTTCACAAGTTAGGCGTTCGCACGCAAGACCAATGGTCCTACATTTGAATTATGCTAGTAGCAGGAATCGCGGATACTCTCTGATAACGAGTCTCATACCAGTTCATCACTTCCAAGTTTCTAATGGTGGTCTAACTTTGATCGATTCATGATTTTTAAACATTTCAGAAACTTAAAACAGACATTCTCTTCTATAAATTTCGATAGAACAATTAGAAGAACAAGTTGATCTGAAAAATGCCATGTATTTGTGCTATACATTTCGCACAATCTAAGTCACACACGCACTTGTCAAGGCATTCTATATGAAAATTAATAAAAGGTCAATCAAATAGAAATTCGAATAAACATAAAGTGATAATTGTAGATAAAGAGGAGAGAAAATTAACATAATATAGTAAGAATAGGAAATTGTCACATTACTTTAGGTCATTAAATGACTTAAAGACTACCAGGGCAGATTCAAGGTTATGAAAAATTGTATTTACAAATAACCAAGGCTTCTACAGACCACAGAATTCGTCCTTGAAAATTTCTGTACAATGTTTTTAAAGCTGTCTTGAGGTAAACCCTCTAGCCCGTTTCGATTATGCGTTTTGCTATAGTGTGAACATCATTCGAGTGATAACACTACATCCCATTGCCTTTAACAGTTTATATGTTTGTGTGGGCAGACATACATAGGGAGGAGTAATCAGATAATGAAATCAAGGGTTTTCGAACTAAAACCCAAATACTTTCAAAAATAATTCATGTCAAATAACCCGCTGAATGTGGGAAACAGGAAACCATGTTTATCTATAGCAAAACACATAGTCGAAACGGAGCACAGTACTGACGTCAAGACACTTTTTAAAACATTGTATAGAAATGTTCAAGGACGAATTTTGAAATTTGTATAAGCCCTTGCTATTCCTAAATTAACTATGTCTTCTCATTGTTCTATCAAGATTTTTTTTACAATTTCAAATGAAATAAAATTTGTTGCCTTTTATTCCATAGTTCTTAATTAACAACAATAAATGTTCATCATTATTATAAACAAATAACACATGAAATATAAACTTTTAGGAAAAGTGATAGTGACCGGATATTTTGATCAGGTTTCTTTTTGAGTATTTACATGTCATTGTTACACGCTAGTGTGTTAATATTTTGTTTGCTGTGAAAATTAAGTGAAATCATATAATTTTCATGAAAGGGTTGTGGAGATTGTTGAAGTTACAAATCAATCAACGATAGATCACCTTAAGAAACTTGGAAGCACTGCACGGCCATTTCATCCTTGTACGGAACTCATCAGCAGTGAGAAGCAGTGACCAGTGTAGTTCAACCACGGTAGGTGGGAGGCAGTTACCCACCAAAGGCTATAGACACTACCGTAGTTAGATACCGGCTCAGTGGTCTGAAAGTTAAGCGTTCGGCCGTGAGACTGAAGGTCCTGAATTTGATACTAACTTGCGTGGGTCATAGATGCGCGCAGTGGATGAGTCCCATACTGAGACGAAACGTCCTTCTAGTGCCTCCAGATTTCTAATGGTGATGTAACATGGAT